AATTGCCCTCTTCCTCAGTCTCCCCTCTAACTCAGTCTTTATATCCAACCAACCCTTAGATCTTGTTGAAGTTAACTCTTAAATCTGGAAACCATTGACACTGCTGTGACTTTTGTTACAGCTTTGTTCCTGGATTATTTTCCCAATCAGCCTTCCAGTTTCTTGTCCCTTTCACAGTCCTTCTGGATGTTCTTTGCTAGAACTTTTTCTTCTTAGAATAAAAATCCAAATCACTTAAGGAAATACCTGAAGCACCTTCTCTGGCCTTTTCCAACATCTCCACCCTCAGTTGTCATTCTCCGCTTCCCACATTGTTCCATGCTTTGAGTTCCTGTGGCTCTACATCACCACTGGATCTTCAGAACCTTTGTCCTTATCATTCCTTTTGCCTCAATTCTTTCCCCTGCTGCTTTTGTCCAGAAAGTTCCTGTCACTTATGTGTTCCAAGAACATCTCCTTAAACCTGATTCTGAACTCAGGTATTTTTTGTTTCTGTTTCTTGTACCTTCATTTTGTGTGTCATGTACATTAAAAAAGTTACTTACATTCTCCATTCACTGATCTAACAGTTCCATTAGGGCACGGTCTACCTGCTTTATTCATCTTTCTAGCCACAGCATCTGATACTTGCACTTAATGTGCTTACTATTTGCTGAGCTCAAATAAAATACTGAGTCAGGAATTTATACCAACTTGTAGGTTGGGATTTAGGTTACCAGCAGAAAGGAGGCATGACAAGTATACAAGTATATCCAGGAAGTGACTGCTGGGAGCAAGAATTCTGAATCTTGCCTCTAGATACAGAGTGTGTGGTTGTATTCAGAAGAGAATCTCTAAGAAAAAGCAAAAATACTTTTTTTGTTGTCACAAATTAGGCATTTAAATGCTCCATCATAGTTTAACAAAGTGCTTTCAGATGGAGTGATGTTAGGGTCAACAAGGAGAGGAAAAATGATTATAGCTGTACAAGCGGAGTCATGCCAGTTGGAATATATGAGATAATAGAGGCAGGAGCAGAACACTGATGGCCTGGTAGGAGGGTGTGTTAGCATTTCCTGAACTCATGGCTTTCCACAAGCTGTGAAGTGATGAAGAATTGGGGTGAATTGCTTGTTTCCACTGTGCTGAAATTTATTTGTGAAGTCAGGATATAGTTGGACAAGGCCACATCAGATCCTCAAAACAAGAGAAAGCAACGGTGGTAGTTGCCCAAGGCCACACAGTAAATGTCAGGTGAAATTAAACTCCACTGTCCCTTCTCACTTGTCCTTCATATTTCTCTTTATTGGCCAGACCTCTGTGCCATGATGCATATATACCCAGTTGAACACTAAGGTGTCCAACTTGCTCTATTTTGAGGAGGGAGGGCCTTTTCTTTACATCAGGGAACTTTGTCCACCAAATCAGACCTTCCTGAGTGTGAGGGAGAGAAATGAGCTGACTCTTTATATTGTACCATCCCTTCTGCCTAATGCAGAAATCTAATCCTGACCTCAGTAGTTTCAGTTATATTCTGCTTCAACTGTTTGCCAGAGTAACCATTTTAGTCTTGTGGAATTTTTTTGGTGTCTGTTCTTCCCATCAACTTTACACCTTTCATTGAAAGAAGCGCAGCCCAATTTGCTACCCAACACAAAGAGTTTGTCAACCAGTTGACCAAACCAAATCAATGATTTGAAGCAAAGAGATTTTTAATTACTGATCATACAGGAGACAGAGGAATCATTCCCAAAGTACTGACTTGCCTTCCTAAAGGGAGGATTTTTTTTTTCTTGATAGGACTATTGGTATTTGTCAGGACTGGGACAGAGGAATTTCTGGAATGCTGGTTATAGAGTTGCAGTGTAGTATCATGACCAGATTGTACCTCTACAGATTTTATGTTCAGACAATGGAGCCAAGCACTCCCTTGGTGGGGATTTCATTAAATAAGTGGGCTTTAGTGAGCCTATGGTAATGTTAAGTCACCAGTATTCTCTGTGTGCACCTTGCTTTATGATTTAACTAGTTTGGGCCCAAATGAATAACTGACTCTTAAACAGTCAGAAATAGCTTAAAGGTTTTCTGAGAACTTGAGTTTGCTTTGTAAATCTTTTGCCTTCTGGTAACAAAATTGCTATTAAGCTCCAGATTCCTGATTAGTAACCTATCCTGCCTAGGATACTCCTCTCCAGGGCTAGTTTCTACTTAGTAGTTTGCTGACTCTTAGAAGCCTTGATGTTGGGAGGGAAATAATTAGACCTAGGTTCTCTGTCCTGTGGAATGTCAGGGGCTAGTGTAGGGGTAGGGATGGAAGATCTTCATTTGAAAGAAGTGCAAAAAATGACATTTGATTAAAAAAAAATTACCAGCATTATGTTCCACAGCATGGAGTTGACATGTTTAGTGACCTCAGTCTGTGACATTTCCACACCTGATTTCAGCCTCCTTTTAAAGGGATTTCATTTTGGAAAAATAGCTTATCTGGAAATTTAAGCAGGCAAACTGGTATTTTATTCAGGATGTTTTTTTTTATTACCCCAAGTGTTTTCTGAATTCCTGCTATGTACTGCACACTAAGATATAATGGCAATCAAATAGAGCTATTTTTCTGAATTCACATGTTAGTAGAAATCCTGGAAGTGCATCAGATACTCTGCTGTCCATTCGTTCCTCCATGGAATACACTTGTAGGATGAGCCCCTGTGTGCAGAATTAGTTCTATAAGTAAGGAAGCAAAAAAAAGGAAGTTTTGTATAAGCAGGGCACAAGGGCTGGGGAGGTCACCAAATTCTATGCTCAACAGTGGGTACCAAGGGCTTGAGTGACCTCACAATAACCTATGAAATTTCCTACCACTGTTATCCTCTTTTATAAATGAGAAACACGTAAACACTGAGAATCTGGGATTTAGGCCCAAAGCAGAAAACTTGTTCATCTGACGAATTCTCTTAACGTACATCCCTAACTAAATATTAGGATGTTTGGGACTCGGAATCCAAGGTCAATAAATGTGTGTGAGGAAGGCTGAGACCACCTTTGTGACAACCTTAAAGACTTCCAAAGAACAGCAATGAGATGAAAAATTTTTTAGGATATAAATTTGGCCAGGTTGCAGGATGACTTGATCTGCAGTAAGAGCGCCTGTGATGAGCCCCCCTCTAATTTACACTAAGGTTCCTTATAGTGGAGTGGGACACGCTGACGTCCAGTTGGGCGCAGTATTAGGAACCTGGCTCCTTAACTCGGTACAAAAACCCATCTATGGGAAGGGAAGGAACCACCGAGATGAACTCGCTTCCGCAGCCTAGAAGTACCACGGTGGTACTCACTGCGGCGCGAACTGTTGACGTCACAACGTCCGGCGCGTCTGGGACTTGCTTCCGGCGGCTTAGGGGTTCCGGGTGCGGCCGGGAGCTCGTGTGTCTTGGAGCCGCTGCGGGTCTGGGACTCCTGCGGCTAGTTGGTCGGTGTTCCCCGTACAGCCTGCGGCCTTTCCTCCTCGGATTCTCGGGAACTGACGACCTCAACGCCTTTTGCGGGTGTGCGAGACCTTTGCAGCATCCCGGCGCCAGGTCGCTCAGAAGAGGGTAGGGAGGAGGCTAGAATCCAGACTCCTTGACTCAGTTCAGTTGCTTCTCCCACTGCCCTCTACCACCATCGTCTTTGTTTTGGAAGTTACTTACTACTCAGTAGGCCTGGAGTGCCTTTGAGCTCATCTCAAGGAGTTTTTATCCCTTATATTTGGAGCTTCTGCACTCTTTCTTTAGGGATTATCCATGTGTCTATGAAGTCTTCCCACTCATTTACTCTTTTGTCACTAGAGAGCAAGGTTATTCCAGACTTATAATAGTCATATGGTTGCAGATGGCTTATTTCTGGCTTCCTGTGATCTAGAGTATGAAGGTAGTAGGTTGACAAAGGTGTCCTTTCTCTTACCTCTGTGCCTCAGATTACTTCCTTCGGATTACAGGCACATGTACAGGGTCTCTATTCTTCACATAAGGGCATTTTCTCCTTAGAGAAGAGCCTCTAGGAGAAATTCAGTGTTACCTGTATTCCTAATACATTGTTTCTGGGTACGAGAAATTTAATTCAAGAGCCACTGGTCCTGTTAGGAACAGGAACTGAAGTAGTTGTGACTGCCATTGTCATTGGGCATCAGGAAGTAGAGGAGTCTGGGTATTTGCTGAATTAGTAAGAACAGTACTGGATGAACTGGATTTTTAGGTTATGGGAACTCTATGAACAGATCGTATTTATGATCTGAAAAACTAACTCTAATTTAGCATGTATGCTTTATATATGTGTCTATCTGTATGTAATGCATGAAGAAGTGCTCAGAAGAAAGTTAATCAAAATACTGTTTTCTCTGGGTGGGAGGATTTCAATGCTTTAATTTTTGGACTGACTTATAGAATGATCATGCATTCTTTGTATAATTGAAAAAAGGAAAACCTTTTAGACAATAAAAGGAAGTGGAAATGTGTTAGCTTTGGTTTAATATTTTAAACTACCTGAATTTCCACCACCTGGAGATGTTTTTGTATATAGTATACCCATGCTAGATGTTTATATACAGAGACTATAGGTGGATGATAATTTTCTTCAACTTTTATCTTACTTAAGATTGGTGTACTTATTCTTTATTCTATAATTAACCACTCTGGATGATCCCAAATTATCTGCACTAATTTTTAGTATTTGAGTGTTTACTTTTAGCATTTGGGTGTTTTAGAACCTATCATTATAGAAAATTTTATAAATCCCCCCATGTTGCTACAAAATTGCTTTTTGTCATATCATATATTTAAATCTTCTCCCAGGTGATATTTTTTTTTTCCTATTATGGAAAGAAGATAAAAATTAAGACTACAGGCACATGTAGAAGGCTGTTCTGCACATAAGGGCATTTTCTTTTGTGAATTTGTTTTTCAGGCAGGAAGTCCAAACCCTATGCCAGTGTTAAGTGGCTTGAGGAAGATTTGGAGAGTCACTAGTGCTTGTATGCTGAAAAAGGCCAGCAGGGGAAATGCTGCAGAACTGAGCATCAGAGGATTCACACAGGACATATACACAGGATCTCCGTGGAGAATAGTGTTAGTCTAATGATAATCCACTTTGAGAAAATACCTCATAAGTATCATGAATTTGAGAGAACGTTTTCTGTAAATCTGTGCCCTTCATTTTATGACAAGTAACATGAGCTCCAACTAGATTCTACATATTATGTGATACTTTTGAGACTTAATATGCAGAAGAAATCTTCAAAGTGTAGTGAATGTGGAAAATTCTTTACTCAAAAATCTTCTCTTATGCAGCATCAGAGGATTCACACAGGAGAAAAACCCTATGTATGTAGTGAATGTGGAACTTGTTTCCGTAAACAGTCAAATCTTACTCAACATCTGAGGATTCATACAGGAGAGAAACCTTACAAATGCAGTGAATGTGAGAAAGCCTTTCAAACAAAAGCAGTCCTTGTCCAGCATTTGAGAATCCATACTGGAGAGAAACCTTACAAGTGCACGGAATGTGGCAAAGCATTTTGTCAGAATCCATCCCTTATTAAACACTTGCGAATTCATACTGGAGAGAAACCATATAAATGCAATGAATGTGGGAAAGCTTTCAGTCAGAGAATATGTCTTACTCGACACCAGAGAAGTCATTCTGGAGAAAAACCTTATAAGTGTTATGAATGTGGGAAAGCCTTTAATCAGAGTGCATGTCTCATGCAGCACCAGAGAGTCCATTCAGGAGAGAAACCATACAAATGTACTGAATGTGGGAAAGCCTTTGCTCAGAATTCTTTCCTTGTTGAACATGAAAGAATTCACACTGGTGAGAAGCTCTATAAATGTAGTGAGTGTGAGAGAACATTCCGCAAGCAAGCACATCTTAGTGAACATTTCAGGATTCATACTGGAGAAAAGCCTTATGAATGTGTTGAATGTGGGAAGTCCTTTAGGCACCGTTCAGCGCTTGTACGACATCAGAGGCTTCATGGCGGAAAATAAAACTTGGGATATAGCTAGTGTGGAAAGACAAGAGAAGTTTCCCTTCTAAATTCTTAGGAATTTAGCACTCAGTATTCAGCTGACATGTTTGTTGAATAAGAGGCAGTGTTGTGCTGGGAAAGTGGAGATCTTGGAACTAGAAAATACATTTGATGTGTAACCTTACTCTCTCCTAACTTCAGTGGCCCCACCCAAGAATAATGGGGTTGTCTTGAGAATAAATTCTATGTACTAAATACTGCTATTGGTTTTGAGTGGCAGATGTCCCACAGGTTTATAAATTTTATTATTAAAAACAAGCAGTGTTCTTAGGGGAAAATGCTCTTGAAACTGGACCATAATTTTTATGTTTAATCCACAGGCTATTTAAATTAAATGTCTACATATAAAATCACACTTTATCCTTGAGAAAATTGGATCTGCTTTCACTTTAAACTATTTTTCATGAAAAGATAAACTTCACTGACTGCATGAAAAATTCTTTTGCACAACTTATTTTTTTAAACATCTTATTTATGTATACAGAACTGTGGTACAGGCTAGAGGTGCAGGAGCACTGAGAGAATTCACCAGAGACAGAGTGGGGAGCAGAATAGACAGATCGACAAAGGACACTGCTGAGGGGAGCAGCATGCGAGACAGAAGTCTTGCCACACCATGTGGGAACCTCCCTGTCCAGGGATCAAACTCATGTTGAAGTGGCTCCCACTAGTTTCGTATTGCTTCACTTTAACTTGCCATGCCACCATGGAAAGCCCGGGATAGGTTTTCTAAAAGGAAACCTGCATGGCCACAGGTGGGCAGCCTTGAGTGCTGAGGAAGGTCAGTGCAGAAAAGCCCTGGCAGGATACAGGTCACTGGCAGGCAGGAGGGCTGCTGTCCTACAGAGGGACAGAGTTGGCAAAAAGGAGCACCTGCATATTCACAGGTGGGCAGAAGGACTGCTACTGAATTGCATATTTATTTTTAAAAAGATTCATGCATACAAGAGCTGGGGGTCAGAAGTGGGATGTGTGTGTGAGAGGATTCACCAGAGACAAGAATGGGGAGGATAGATAGATCAACTGAAATACACTGTGGAGGGGAGCAGCAGGCAGGCCAGGAGAGGTCTGCCATGCCATGTGGATCACCTCCTAGGCAGGACAGCTTCATAGTGCTGTGATTTAACCCTTTGTACCACCAGGGAGGGCCCTAAAGTGGCAAGATTGTAAATTTCATGATTTCACCATTCAAATACATTACTTCCAGTGTTTTCTACTTAGCTTTTCTTTTTTCCCTTAAAAAAGAAAAAACAAAACTGATCACAACTTGTTGGGGACCACCCCAACTATTGAGGTGTCTGGAGGCTAGACAGGCAAGGCCCTAAGGTGGGAAGGCCGAGTCAAGCAGAGATTCCAAAAGGGGAGGGGAGAGCAGGCTCGAGATAGACATGGGAGTTCAGATTGGGTGCAAGTCTTCCTGTTCATTCCCGCAGCAGGTCTTTATTTATATTGTGTAACAAGTAGTTAATTGTAATAATGCATAGGGGAACATTCTCAAGGACAAGGGGAACAAAGTATTTTTGTCAATATTTTATGGTATACTAGATTATACGTTTTTGTGATAACTGTCATGTGTACAAATGTTTAGTTATCACTCAAAGGAAGGGGTCTGGGAAGGGATGAGCTCGTTAGCAAAAGATTAGGGGTCTTGGGGAAGTAATAAGTGTGTTAGTGTTATCAGTGATTGTCTAAAGAAAAGCTAGTGGCTAGTGCTTGTTTTAAAAAGGAGTAAAGTTGTAACAGAGAAAGTTGTCAAGAGAAAGTTGTAATAGTTGTGTATCGAACAACACCTGTGTAATCAAGGTTAAAATTTGTCCATGAGTCCTTATGCCCTAGGAGTCTTATCTGAGGTTTGCTTTTTTATTTCAGGAAAACAAGGAAGCTTCCCAGGAGTTTTCATGCCGTGGGGTCTTATCTCTCCTGGGGCTTGCCTTCTGTCTCAGGAGACAGAGGAATTTCTAGACCTGGGGCAGCTTGCCTAAACCAAGCAGCAGCCTAATGAGGCTAAAACAATCCAGTTGTAAACTGATGGTTGCTCAGAATATTTTGATATTATGATTATACAAAAAAAGGAGGTCATAACATAAGTTAGCAGTGGAAATTCTGATTTTTCAGAGCTTTTCCCAATCTACCCGGAATCTGTTAGTTGATAGACGTTGCATAGCTGTATCATTAACTCTACTGATTTAATATTTATGTTACTGGCATCTCCCCCTTTAGAAATCAACTAGTTCACTTAGAGCAGTGCCTAACACATAGTATGTGCTCTTGACAGCTATTACTGTTTTTAAGTCTTTAGTCTATATTAAGCTTTTTAATTTTAAATTATTGCTTTTGGATTTTTAGAGAGCACAATCTTTTTATCTCATTTTTAAAATGTCATTAACCTTTAATGACATGATTTAAACTATTTATGGTACAAGATTTAAACTATTTATGGTACAAGAAGGTAAATAAGGACAAGCCTTTCCAGCTGTTACCCCACTCACCCCCAACCAATGTTATTTGTTCTTTTTGTTTCAGAAAGATGATTATAAACAAGAAAACACAAATCTTACTCCATTTTGCTAATGGATCTTATTTTCTAGAAGAGTTTCAGGCTCACAAGTGAGAAAGTCCAGAGTATACAGTATCCTTAAGTTCTTGCACCCACTTATGTTGTCTCCCCTCAACAGCATCCTGCACTAGGGTGGTATATTTGCTACAACCAATGAGCCTACAATGTGTCACATCATTATCACCCAAAGTCATAATTTACTTTAGGGTTAACTCTTAAAGTTGTGCATTCTATGGGTCTGGACAAAAACCGACCATGTGGTATCATAGAAAATAGTTTCACTCCTGAGAATACTATGCACTCCACTAATTAGTTATTTCTCCCAAATACTAACAATCACTGATCTGTTTATTGTTGCCATAGTTTTATCTTTTTCAGAATGTCCTGTAGTTGGCATTGCACATATGTGATCCATTTAGACCGGCTTCTTTCACTGATTGATGTGTATTCAAGTTTCCCCTTGTTTTTCATGGTTTGCTAACTAGATTTTCTAAAATGCTGAACAGTCCATTACCTGGATATACCAGTTTATCCACATACTGAAAAACATCTTGGTTGACTCTTAGTTTGGCAATTATGAATAAAACTGCTGTAAGTTTCCTGAAAACTTGTTCTTAAGATAGCAGGAATCTAATACTGCTCATGTGAAATTCACACTTTAAGATTCACTGGTCTATTAAACAGCAGAAAAACACTCATTCATCTCATATTTTTTATGCTTTTCATCTGCTAGTTACTGTTATGGGTACTAAGGATGCAGCAGTGAATAGACAAAGTCCCTCTCTCTAGACAGTAAGACATATTAAGACTTGATGTGGGGTTGGTACAAGACATAGTGATAATAGATAAGAAAATCACTTGACTTATGTAACAAACAACTGCAGAATATCTTTAGGACTGTCTATACTTTCTAGAGCCTCTCAGGGATCCCTAGTCAACTCACATAAATTATGTGACAGTAGGTTTTAAAAAAGGAGAAAGAGATGTACTAATGTACGATGCTCTGAAATTCATAAATTCAGATTGATGTGGCTGGTGAAGGGTGGAATTCTAACAAGTCTCCAGTTTTGGCTGACTTGAAGAAATGAGGAAAATTGTTAGGATTAAACAGGGGCTTGATGGATTACCTAGAAAGGCTCAGAATTTACAGCGTTTTTCTCCTTTTCTTGATCCAACACTTAGAGAACTTGCAGAGGTATTTCAAGTGAGAAACAGATGTGATTCCGGGACAGTTATTTGTGGTAAAGGATGACAAAATTAATTTCAAATGAAATAAATATAGATACTTCTTAATCTGATACTGAGGTGGGGAAACAATAACAAAATCTGACAGATTACATAATTCGTACATTAGTAAGAAAAATACTAAGGGAAAACAAAAAATAAAAACAGAAACCTAAAATGTTAACACTTGAAATGTTTAGCCTCCATGGTGGATCAAAGAAAACGCCAATTAAATTTAACTATTAAACAGTTTTCAACACATACTTTGACAACACATGTAAAGGCTGGTGCACTCTAATCTCAGATAAAGTGTAGTGCCTCTTATAGATGGTAAACTAACAAAATGGTAAAACACCCTAAAAAGCAATTTGAAAGTAAATATGAAAGTTTTAACAAATATTAAAATACTTTGATCTAGGAATTCTGGTTCTAAGGAAATCACCAGAATCTTGCCCAGAGATTTCTGTATAGCATGTCTACCCGACTACTGTATCACGTGGGCTGCATGTACCACAAACCTGACAGACTTAAATGAAAGGTGCTATTTCTTGTATTCCAGGAAGTTGAGGCCTGCAGTCCAGGGCTGGCGCAGTAGCTCCTAGAAGCATGTCACAGGGTCCAGGATCCTGAGTCTTTCCACTGAACCCCCTAGAGCAAGGGGCTGCCTTCCTTATATCTGAAAGTGGCCTGGACCTCCTGGGTTATCAAGTCTGCACTCTAGACGAGACGAGAGGATAAAAGTTCATGTTTGCTAAATCTTGTCTTTCTATATAAAAAACCCAGTGGCTTTATTAGGTAGACTTGCACTTGCAGCTTTCTTTTTATAGTGCTATCAACTACAGTCACCATGTTATACATTATTGACCTGTGTCAAGATCACGTATTAGATCCTCACTTGGAAAAGATCCACTTGTCTCCCTTGTCTCTCTTATTTACCAGAGCTGTTACATGGCTTCCCTTAGAAGGAGCTGGGGAGGTATTAATAACTTGGTATATGATCATCTTCCCTATCTAAAATGGGGTTATGCTACTGAGGAAGATACAACGGGATCTCTTTTTTTATGAAATTCTTAGTAGATACTTATATCCAGATTTTCAATTTTTCTGTCCTGGAAAAACACAATATAATGTCAAGCGAGAAGCACGTAACAATCTCAAAAACAATACAATCTCAATTTTGTTAAAAACATGTAATTTACATAGATATACATCCTACATGAGAAATAACAATAGTAAATAACATTTACAGGTTGGCATTTCAAAGGGACATTGATGGAAGGACACAGTTTTTATCTTAATAAGTTTTTCATGTATTTTAGAAATTTTTCTATAATGACCCTGTAGTAACTATTGGATTGTTGGAAGTCATGACATATTTTGCTTGAAAAACATAGAAAAAATATAACATGACTTTTCTGTCAACCCAATATATAATAGAAAAAAGTGTTATTTTATAAAAAAAAATCCAATGTACACTTAAAGAAGACTAAGTCCAAAATGTTTACACTTACTCATTTTCATCTTCATTGTCAAAAGAAAGGAGACTACTGTTTTTGATTTGCTTTTGTGAATTCTTCTTAATTGAGTCCTGTTTGTTTATTTCATCTTCATTTGTCTTCTTCTTTTTTGAGCTTGCTGTTAAGCCTGAGTTTTGTTCATTTGAAGAACGCTTTACTGGCTTTCGATACATGATTCGTCCATCAGCTGAGGCTGGTTCTTCATCTATAGAAAAAAGAAAGTTAAAAAAAAATTCCTCAATCTTCATTATTTTGCTGTCAATGGAGAGTTAAATGGCAAGAAAATCTCATACTGCATGTAAGGATGTTCTTCAATCAGTGTAGACTGTGCTCTGCTGCCTCTAGCTTGTGCTTACAAGCGAGGCAGTCACTAAATAACAACTCACTAAAGTATGAATAATATTACCAATTTCTAATTAAATATAATCAGTTTGTATTTTTAAGTATTTTGAAAAGTGACTGCTTAGAATTCCGGCATGTCCCCTAAAACAACATAATAAATATTTAGGAATAATAAAAAATATTTTCTGACATACCACATCTTAGACCTACACAGTACACTTTTATTAAATTCTCAATCCTAATAAGCCAGTAGAGCAGGCACAACTGTCCCTATTTTACTAGTGAGGAAACTGAGGCAAAGAGGTTAAATAACTTCTTCACAGTCACAAGTTAAAAGGCAAAGTATGAACCTAGGCCTGTCTCCTTCTAACAGGCCATGCTATTATGTAAAATAATCATACTCTGGGATCCCTAAAATTGTTAGAAAAATCACAACACTGTCAAGACACACCTGCTTTAGCAGCCTTTATTTCCGCTTTAATTTTCATGACTTCTTCAGCTGACAGGTCTCCCTTTTTTAAGACCACCACCTGAGGCTGTTCATCTTCTTTGTCACTGTGATCACCATCTTCACTTGGGGGCTGAAGTGGGATTCGCTAGGGGAATATATACACAATATGTAGGTTCCTATCTTGGAACACATACAACCATTCCTCACTAGGGGAGAAATTGTAATTACTAAAATGAGAAGGTAACTTTATTGACTGTGTTTGGAGATGAATGGTCAAGTAACTGAGCAGGCTGACCTCACCACAGTAGGGGCAGGTCTGCTTTCTCTACACCCTGGGGAGTCTGGTGTATGGAACTAAGCAGGACCCCAGCCTGCAGTTCCCAGGGTCAGGAGTCCTCTGCTGCATTACTGCCAGCATTTCCACCAGCCCATGGGTTCCTCCTGCTCTTCATCAACTATTCTCACTTCTCTCTCTTTTCAAAGTCTCAACAGCAATGAAATATCACCGAAATAGAGAAAGCTGCAAATAACAGTTACTTTTCCATCGCTGCTTGCTCTCTCCTCACCTCCAACACCTTCACTTGGTGGACATCCTAAATGTATATCCAAAGGTGGACATAAAGAGCTAATTTTGGGGATATAAACAGGATGCTGGCAGAAGAAGACCAAATCAGTATTTCTTGTAAATCATAATATCAGACACCAAGAGTCTGATTTAGTAGTGGAGATACAAAGGAGAGCAAGTGGTTGCAATGCAAAATGATGATGACTATTACAAATGAAATACAGGTAATTTGAAGAACAGGAGTAATTCGTCCAGGAGCTTCCAGGCAGAGATGACGCAGGGGAGGGAAGTGTTACAGAATATGGTGTTTTGGGTTCACCACATACTCACTAGACTGAACAATTTCTGTTTATGTCAGTCTTTTTGTTTACTAAGCTCTAAGGGACTTGAGAGGTGGGTCTGAGTTCAAATGGGGACACAGAGTGCCAAATTATTTCTCCACACATTTCTTAGCATCCTAGTGTCTTTCTATCCAAGGAGGTAGGGCATGTTTTGGAGGAAAGCTTGGCAAGTTGACGTCTACCAACCCCCACCATGAACTAATCAGGTGTAGCTCTGTTCTGAAGCTCCACTTCTATTCAGATCCAGAACAGTCAAGGCCTTTGCTTGCTTGCTTTTCTTTTGGTAAAGAAAGCACTGGTATAATTTCAGGGCATTCGTCCAAAGATGTTTCGGACTCGGTGATTTGATCTAGTGGGCTCAGTTTCTTTATCTGGAGAACGGAACGATGCTACACCGTCTCACACCGTTACAGGTTTTGAGATAAGTATGAGAAGTAAGAGACAGGTAAAGTGACTTTTCTTAACCTGCCAAGCATGAGTGGCTTTACCTGCGTCAAGTCATTTTCAAGAATATGACATTTTAAAGAATACACCAGCATTCTGAAAACGACAAAGAGCTCCTGTGAGAAAGAGGATAGGGTTGTCTGAAGCGGACCGGCCGTTAACACCCAGGACCAACCTAAAGGGGGCCGGGCGCTGGTGAGAGGAGGCCCGAGAATCCGAGGTCTCCAGGGCCAGGAAGATGCCGGAAGTGCGGGGAAGGTCGCGTTTCCGAGATAACGCGAACGGGCTGGGCATACCTTGGTTTCTACGGTGGGCCCTTCCCTGTAGCCGACTCTTTCCTTGAAGCGGGCCAGGAAGGCCGGCTCGGCTGGCCGAACGTACGACACCTGGTTCCGCTTGCTCATGGCAGCTTTGGGGACAACTCTCCGCAGCCGATCTATATTGTACAGAGACGCCGGCGCCTACTCATGACGTCACACACGCGCCATGTTCCGCCCCCCCCCCCGCCAGAGCAAGGCCGGGCAACATGGCAGCCTCCGTGCTAGCGTCAACGTCCCACTCGAGCGCCAAATTCAAATTCGCGGCCATCTTGAGCGGGCGAAATCCGGGTGTGCGACGCGGTTGGAGCTTAGAGCATCCGCTGCGTTGGTCTTCGGATCTGGGGGTGAGGGTGCCATGGCGCCCGGCTGTAAAAGTAAGTAAGAAGTCCGGCTTTGTGACCTCATTCTCGCCTTGAAAGACTGCTCCCTGCAGGGTGGGCACGGAAGCCGGGAGCAGACTGAGCGGCGCTGGACGTTCGGAATCTGTGCCCTTGCAGCCGGTGCGCTGATGGAACAGCTCTCTTCCCTTGCTCCTGTGCCTTGGGCTGTTGTAGGCGCTGGGGCTGAGCAGTGAACTGGGAACGAGAGACCGGCGCCCAGCGACCTTTCATTCTTAGCTCGCCTTCTCCATCCCGCTGTTAGTCCTCGCCTCTCTGCGGTTGCCTGGGGGCCAGCCTGGCTCTCACCTCTGCGTCTTTCCACATTACTGACCCTCCTGAGCTTACTCATGGTCCCAGCACGGCGTTCTCTTTTGAAGGGCCCACTGTGCATTGTCCCTAGATAAGGGACTTTTAAAGCGTAGAAACGTCGTCAATGCCTTCGTGTCTAGTCTCTTCTCAAGGGTTGTTTCCTTGTTTTCATGGAGGGGAATGTGGTCGCTTTTATTTTTAATAAGCCTTCAAATTTTCACTTTTTTATTAGCCCAATTCCTGTGTCGCATCTCATATTGACTAGTACTTTGAGGAGTGTGGCTTATTAAAGTTGATTTCTAGCAGATTTAATGGGTTTCTGTGAATGCTGTGAATAGTAAGGAGAAGCCTATGTTGGAAGAATGCAGAAATTGTGAACTTTTGGTATTTGAACCTTCCTATGGTAATACTTCTAGCTGTCAGTTGTTATCTGATGTGTTTGTTTGGCTTTTAGGATGATTGTACAGTTAAATGCATACCTCACTCTGCTCTCTTTTCTGCGTTTGAAATGTTCCTTTCCCTCCACCATTTTCAGTATTCAGGAAATATTAACATACAAACTGCTACCTTTTTGGATTAAAATTAAAACATCTTTTTATTTAGTGGAAAGTGATACATGTGTGTGTGTGTGACTTTGAAAGACTGTCCTGTCTATATACTTCCATTTTCTCTAGTGATGGAGCAAAGGTATTCACTGCTCCTCTTTGTGATTTTCATAGGGAACTTTACTTTTTCCCTTAAGTTTGCTGGCAAAGTTGAGGTCGATGACATCTCTATTAATTGCCCTTTGCATTCCCAGTGGTCCAGATACCTGGAGCAGGATGTGGAACACTTTTACTTCTATGCCTAAGGTTATTTCATGTGATATTGTTGGCCTCAGGGGTTGTCTTTGAAATCAGAGTAATGAGACTGTAATAAAATTGTGTTTATGATTCCCCTTTGAACTATGTTCAGTGTTGATTCTTGTTCCCGGTTCCCCAATTTGGGTGATGGTTGGAGAAGGAAACTCACACTTCCGAGTTGCATTTCTCAGCAACAGGCAGCTGTCCAGAGGCAGGATGAGAAGCTGATAACCTGAGTCTCCTGGGAAGAAGCGTTTGAGCTGGGAGGTAAAGGGAGAGGATGCCAGTATTGTCGGCTGTGTGGTCTGGTCTGGAGTTTCTGATTTACTTAGCAGGAAGGGAGGGAGCAATCTTGGTTCAAGTACAACAGACTTACTTTCTTGTAGATTTCCATACATTTTCTTGAATAGATGTTACTTCATTTGCTACTTGTCTTTACAACCATGTATAGAGGCTTTAAATGTTTTTTTTTGTTGTTGTTTTTGTTCAATAAATCAGAATTTTTATTGTTGTAACAAAGAAAAATTGGACAGAGGCTTTAAATGTTTTAAAAAAATTATTTAATCAATTCATTGGACAATGAGTTAGTGGCACTCCCCTCACTGTCATGCTGGAAGTTGATCATCTCTGACTTCCTTTTTTTTTTTTTTTAAGATTTATTTATTTATTCATATGGAACTGGGGTACAGGCCAGAGATGCGGAGGGTGAGAGGATTCACCAGAGACAGAGTGGGGAGCAGAACAGGCATATGGATGAAGTACACTGCTGAGGGGGGCAGGGGGCGGGTCAGGAGAAGTCTGCCACACCATGTGGTCACCTCCGGGGCAGGCGGGAATCTAACTCATGTGGAAGCGGCTTTAGCTTCTTTGTGCTGTGCTTTAACCCTCTGAGCCACCAGGGAGGGCCGATCTCTGACTTCCTTTTAAAGACTCATTCTATCTTCTGAATTAAGAATAAAGGAAGTCAATGAATGAATGAGAGGAGCAGAGAGACAGTTGTAATATCAAGGGATATTGCTGGCTTGGCTCCCAGGTGGTCATGGCAGTGGATTTTATCTAGGATTCTGGGTATGTTTTGAAGGTAGAGGCAGAGATTGGCTAACCAGGTTGGTTATGATAAGAAAGAAAGGGATCAGGTATTTGGTTTAAGCAACTGGAAAAGGAAAGTTGTTACTAAATGAGATGGAAAGGCATATTTTGAGTGAGGATGTGGTGAATAGGAACTCAGTTTTGCATACATTAAATTTGAGAAATCACCTGTTAGAAATCTAATTTGGAGATATCCAGTAGGCAATTAAATAGAAAGAATTTGGGCTTTGGAGACCTTCCAGGGAGAATTAGGGATTTGTTAGCATATATATGTAACATTTAAAACCATGAGTCTGATGTCATCACCAATGGAGCATGTATGGATAAAATAGAGAGAAAGATCAAGGCTAGGCCCAGGAGCTCCCCACTGTCAAAAGATTCAGGGAACCCAGGAGACTGAGAAAGGAGTGTCAGCAACTGAACAGCAGGCTAAATAGGAATGGGGTTGCTATTTTATTTTTTAGGGAGGGGCAGCAGTAGCGAGGGCTCCCGACCATTTTATCATCACCACCATCGCATCTATCACATCACGTGTGTCAGGTGACAGGAGGGAGGGGCAGCAGTAACGGGGACCCCAGACCTTTTTCGTCATCACCACCATCACCTCCATCACATCACGTGTGTCAGGTGACAGGACGGGGGGCAGCAGTAACGGGGACCCCAGACCTTTTTCGTCATCACCACCATCACCTCCATCACATCACGTGTGTCAGGTGACAGGACGGGGGGCAGCAGTAACGGGGACCCCAGACCTTTTTCATCATCACCACCATCACCTCCCATCACCTCCATCACATCCATTACATCACGTGTGTCAGATGACGGGGGTGGGGGGGCAGCAGTAATGGGCACCCAGACCTTTTTCATCATCACCCTACTGTTTTAAGCACCTTTAATGATGTCTTATTTTTTTTTTCTAGCTGAATTACGCAATGTGACAAATGGTCAGTCTAGCCAACCAAGGTAAGGGAAAAACCTGTTGATAACAACGAAGGTTAGGGAATGTAGTGTTCCTAAAACAACTAGTGTAGTGAGTGGCACTTGGTTCAAAATTAAGCTGGACCTTCAACTACCTGGAAACTTGAGAAACATCATTCTCTCCTTCCCTCTGTCTCCTCATCTTCTAGATCAAAGGATAATTATATCTGTTTATTTTTTATTTTTTTTTTTTAAAGATTTATTTATTTGTGCATACAGAACTGGGGTACAGACCAGAGGCTCAGGGGCGGTGAGAAGCTTCACCAGAGACAGAGTGGGGAGCAGAACAGGCAGATCGATGAAGTACACTGCTGAGGGGAGCAGCGGGCGGGTCAGGAGAGGTCTGCCACGCCATGTGGTCACCTCCGGGGCAGGCGGGAATTGAACTCATGCGGAGGCGGCTTTAGATTCTCAGTGCTGTGCTTTAACCCGCTGCGCCACCAGGGAGGGCCTATATCTGTTTATTTTATCTTGATTTTATTTTTAATATTTTTTAGCTTAATAATTATAAGTAACATAATTCTCCCTTGGGATGATTTATTATTGCTACTAAGGGAAATCAGACAAGCTGGGTTTAGAGTGCCTTAGAAATCACCTACCTTTGGGTGGGTTTCAAGTGAAGACTTAGGAAGCAAATCGGTAAAGTGTGTGGGCTTTTGAGACCCTTAAAGGAGGTAAATATGAATGACTAGATCCTGGGCTTTGGGGGAAACTCAGAATGGAAACAGGAAACAGGAGACTCGTCCCTTTTCAGGCTCCTCTAATAACTTAGCTACTACATTTTTGTCCTTAGTAATGAAGGTGATGCCATCAAAGTTTTTGTTCGAATTCGTCCTCCTAAAGAGGGTTCTGGATCAACTGATGGGGAGCAAAATCTATGCCTATCTGTGCTCTCCCCCACGACTCTTCGACTGCATTCCAATCCTGAGCCCAAGACCTTCACGTTCGATCACGTAGCAGACATGGACACCACGCAGGTGATGAGCGTTTTGGAACAGCTTTCTCCTTGGAACACAGGAAACTTATTCGTGAGGATTTCATTTCTGGCCCCCTTTTACTGTTATAGAGCTCTGAGAAGGATGTGCAAACATCCATAAATATTTCAAATTGCATTTTAGCAAATATTTTTCTTCCTTCATCAGTCTTTATGCCAGAATGACATAAGCCTGCTGTACTTTCTCCATCTAGTGATGGGTTAGTGAAGGCGTCCTTTTCAGAGCTGCTTAGAGTGACAGGTACAGTTGAATTGCCTAATTCAAGGAGTGTTTCTTTCACTGTGGCATCAAATGTGGGTGGCTTAAACAGAAAACATTCCTCAGGGTTCTGAAGGCTGGAAAGTATAAAATAGGACCCTCAGATCGAGGGTCTGGTGAGGTGCATTTCTTGGCTTGTAAATAGCTCCCTTCTGACTGGAGAGGAGAGCGAAAGCAAGGTTTCTTACTCTGCTGATTAAGTTCTACCTCTTGGAGATAATCTATGTAGGCACTACTCCCAGAATGAGGTTTCCTTCACCCTCATGATGCGGTCTTTCTCAAGGCCCTTTCTAAATGCCATCACATTGGGGGTCAGGATTCACCATATGAATTTTGGGGAGGACATAGGCATTTAGATCATATCAAAGAGGGATGGACTTAGATTTCTATGATGTTAGTAACTGCTTTTGTAAGTAACAATTTAGTCGACATCTAGTCAGCTCTGTACAACAAAACTTTCTGCAGTGATGGAAATGTCCTGTCTGTACTTTCCTACTGGATGTAATTTCTGTGTTAGCACAGGTGTTAAAAAAAATCTCACATAGTTTTTATTGTTATGTAGGTATTTAATGAGTACATTTTAATGAAATGTTTACATGCTTGGTGCTTATGTTTGTAGGAGTCTGTGTTCTCAACTGTGGCCAAGGGCATTGTGGAGTCTTGCATGAGTGGATATAACGGTACCATCTTTGCATAGTAAGTCGTTGACTGTGTTCTTATACAAGGGTACAATAGCAAGTGCTTCTCTTTTTTCCTATGGCTGCTCCAACAAATTTAGAGGCTTGAAATAACAGATCAGAAGTCTGATACAGTTCTCATATGCTGTGTGCCTTTTTGGAAGCCTGGAGAGAATCCCCTTCTTGCCTCTCCTGTGTTCTGGAGGCCACACACATTACTTGACTTTTCGTCCCTAGTCACATCTCTGTGTCATTACAGCTGGGACAGGTTCTCGAAGATGGAGGAATCATTTGATTAGATTGACCCCAGCTGGATAATCTAGGCAAAGGTGACAAGTTCCACCTCCTAGAGAATATCCACATAAGTCATGTGGAATCCTCCTCTAAGGAAGATGTGTCTCTTCTCCATTTATGTCTTTATTTAGTTACTTGTATGTTATGGAGTCATATACATTTATTTTATATTAATACTTTGTGTTATACTATGGCCTTATTTTATCTTCTTGCTCATATTGTTAGTTTGGCCACTGGAAACTATTTGAGATTGGTTTCTGTATCCCTTTGATATGTCACATCTTGTTTTGAATGCTTTCTTATGAAATTTCTGATACTACAAGATGCTCCTTGCCCATCTTGTATTTTCTCTGTCCTAGTCCTAGAATCAACAATGTTATTGAAAATGGTATTTAGAAACCAAGATCTAGATACTAGGTGTATTTGTTGCTGCTGGAGTATTATTGCTTCTGTTCTAAGTACTGTATGTAGATAAGCTAATCATGTCTATAACATGGTAGTTATGGTATGTAGGCATGAGTTAGTACATATAAACTTTATGTAAAGTATATATTTTGTATATAAATATGTATAAATGTGATTTCTATCAATTTGTTTATAATTAAGCTAAACATGAACTTATAATAATGTCTCTGCCTCTAATCCAAGGGTTTAGAGTCCACATAGGCTCATTCTAGAATCCAGTAAATCTAAAGGGTTTTCTCTGACTGTCCTTGTGTGTAATTTCCCTTGTTGACAGTGAGAAATCTGGCTCCTGCCTTTATCCTCCTTTTACTTATTTGTTCAGGCCTAGCATACAGGTAGAACACTTTTAAAGTTGTCTGGATCCTGTGTGAGATTCTCCATCGGCAGTGTTCCTTTATAATAAGTCTGTGGTTAACGTCATAATCTGCCAGACTGTCTTCTAAATGTATAAAGTGCCATGATCCTGAATATCTGAATATTGGCAACCTTAAAATATTGCTAGAGTTAATGTTGAACTGTAAGCTGGAGGACCAGAGGCATTCTGATAACCTTGGCAGTTTTATGAGGTGAATTTTAAGTATAATTTCAGATTTATTTCCTGAATAGGAACAGTTTGTAGTCTAATTGTTCTAGCAATAGACTTGACTTCATTTAGAACTAGCAGTGTTTCACAGGTTATCATGAATGCTATAATTCACACTGAGCATATGCCGCTTTGTGTGTGTGCCACTGGCTCACTTACAGTTGACTCAGAACAAGTAAGTTATAACTATATTAAGTTTAAATTCTGCCTGTTCTGCTCCCCACCTGACTCTCTTCACCCCCTAGCCCCTAACCATCCTCTGGCCTACACCCAGTTCTTGTATACATATGTAAATAAAAATAAAATCTTTTAAAAAAGAATGAAAAAAATGAAAAGTTTGTGTGGGTAAAATTTATACAGTAATAGGATATATAAAATAGGAGGGTAGTCTTAAAATTCCATGTGTAAAAATATATAAACCATTCTTTTACAGTGGGCAGACTGGCTCAGGCAAAACATTTACTATGATGGGTAAGTAAACAGTTTTTGATTTTATCTTCTCTTTCTGTGATGATACAGTACCTAGTGCATTTTTGGGCAGGCAGAATTTCTATATATGATGCTGACTTCATAAAATTAAGAATATTTCCTATAGTTTCATGAAATTACAAATTCCACAATAGGAAAGTGTGTATTTACAGTTATGTTTACAACTCAGTACTTAATGCAGAGTGGGTGCTTAATAAAGCTTTTGAATTGGGTTTCACGGATTTAACATATTTATGTGCCTGCATAACCCCCGACCAGGTTAAGATTCTGAGTCCGTGAGCGCCCCCTCCCTGTCCCTGAAGTATGTATTGCTCTGAATGTATCATCATTCGTTCTGTTTGTTTTTAAACATTTCCTGTGTATTCATTTAACTTCTGGCTTCTTTCTCTCAGCAGAGTTTCTCTATGCACTCTTGTTGTTTCATGTGTTTCCATTGCTGTATATGTTACTGTATTTACATAGCCACTCTTTTCCAGTGTTAACAAAATAGCAAACTATTCTGTAGTTTTCTGTCTCCATAAAAACCTTGTGAAATATTAATTTTTAAAGATTTATTTATTTATGTACACAGAACTGAGGTATAGGCCAGAGGTGCAGGAGGGGTGAAAGGATTTATCAGAGGCAGAGTGGGGAGCAGAACAGGAAGACTGACTGAAATACACTGCAGCGGGTGGGTCAGGAGAGGTCTCCACGCCATATGGGTCAGCTCCCTGGCGGGTGATTGAACTTGCACTGAAGCAGCTGCTGTGAGCTTTCTGGTGGTTGTGCCACCAGTGAGGGCCTTTTGTGAAATATTCTTACAAAATCTTTCTACTAGTCTGGCATTGACTGCCCGATGCAAAATGCATTAGTGAGGCCAGGTTTTAGTAATGCTCTATGAGTGAGTTATGACTGTTATTATCTTCTCTTTCACAGTTGAAAACTCAGATTTATTATCCTGTGGTCACACAGCTAGTTTGTACATGTCAGCCAATGAGGATGATTGGCATATACACGGAATAAAATATAATTATTTGATATTTCTGCTAATTTTGGTACCTGATTATAGGAAAAATTTCAAACTTGTTACATAGATGGCTTTTTTTCTTTATCAAACAACAACTAGTTTTAAAAATATGTAGGTGACTATATGTGGGACTTTCCTTTCACCCTGTTCATAGGCTGGTTCTACTATATGGCCTTTCATTGACCAAAATATAACTTGTTTTGAAGTACAAATCTGAAACTGACTTTGCAATGTGTCAGCTTAATTTTGTACAAATTGCCTTTTAGTGTTGCCATTTTGAAGGACTCCTGTAACAGTATAAAAATAAATAGCTTTTTCTTATGTATCTGTATTTTTAGGACCATCTGAATCTGATAATTTTTCTCATAATCTGAGAGGAGTAATCCCACGGAGCTTTGAATATTTATTTTCCTTAATTGAACGTGAAAAAGAGAAGGTAAAACTTAACATAAAAATAAAGTGATTCTATGATATAGTCTAGTTTTGAGTAGTCAGCTACTAACAATTAGCTCATGAGACATGAGGGTGTTAGGTAGATTCTGTATGGATTGTCTAGTGTGACATGAAAACCCCTTTCAATTATTAGGATAAAATTAAGGAATCTGAGGTTTATTTTCAATTTAAGCTTTTACTTTATAAAACATAGTCAACATGGGATTGTTAATTAAAAAATGTAATACAGTGATCATTAGGATCTCGGATTTTGAAAGTGTAAAGAAAACCTTAACTGAGGAAAACAGCTTCAGTAAGCCCGTCTCCTGTCTCTCTAATGACAGTTGGCTACGGATGGCCCCAGAGCCCCGTCATCTCATCTAGTAGTGATGGGCCGCTCGTCCCTCCTGTGGCACCTGCTAGTACTTGACCATTATCTGTTCCACATGTGTGGCTCCCTCATCGGGGTGGGTGTAGGCTTTCCTCCGCCATTGGTTCCCAGGATGGCCCATCTTCATGATTGTACTTCGTACCTTGGTGAGATCTAGGCTTCATAATCATTAATGTTCTAGGTTCTACTACACACGTGCCAAGGAGACTGACATATGACACTGGTTTACCATTTACTGCTTTGTAGAAACATGTCAAATATTAATGCTCAAAAAGAAGGGTGAATGTATGGAAATAATACATTTAAATAAGGCTTCTCGTTTTGCAGGCTGGAGCTGGAAAGAGTTTCCTTTGTAAGTGTTCTTTTATTGAAATATACAACGAACAGATCTATGACTTACTGGACTCTGCATCAGCTGGACTGTACTTAAGGGAGCACATCAAGAAGGGGGTCTTTGTTGTTGGTTCAGTGGAGCAGGCAGTGACCTCAGCTGCCGAAGCCTATCAGGTACCCTCCTTTTATATTTAGGCAGTGAATGTAGCATGCTGTGAAAAGCTCCTTGATCTCAAAAAAGCTCCTTGATCTCAAGAATTGTGGTACTAAAAATATTTACAAAGGCATAAGATAGAAGATTATTGAGAAGAAAAAAGAATGACAGTATTTTATAGATGTCCCCTTAGTTAAATAGAATCTTGAACTTTTTTTTTTTAAAGATTTGTTTGTTTATGCATTTAAGAACAGGTCTACAGGCTAGAGGTACCAGGGGGTGAAGGATTCACCAGAGACAAAATGGGGAAAATAGCCTATGTACTTTATGGAATTTGATTGGTTAATTGGTTTTATTTATTTTTTAAAATTATTTATTTATGCATTCCAGACCTGGGGTGCAGGCCAGAGGTGTGGGCGCAGGGTGAGAGGACTCACCAGACACAGAGCGGGAAGCAGAACAGTAGATTGACGAAGTACACTGCAAAAGGGAGCAGGGGGCTATACAGGAGAGGTCTGCTCTGCCATGTGATTTGGACCCCTGGCCGGGGATTGAACTTGTGCTGCTGTGGCTGCAGACTGCTCCACAGCACTGAGAATACTGCCGCATGCATATGTTACTGACATAGTTTTCAGACTGTCATTTGGGAGCATTTTAGAAATGCTGGATACCTAGCCCTACCTTACCCCTACTAAATTAAAATCTGGATTTTAACAAGCTCCCTACGTGATTGGTAAGTTTGAGCTGTTCTGCTTTTGTAGTGTTCACATTTCGCATGTTGTAAATATGAGACTGAGCCTTAAAAGGTTCAGTTAGCCTTTGCTCACACAGCTAGAAAACAGTGGGGTCGGACTGAACTCATGTTCATCTAATTCCAGAGCCTGCAGCCTGAGCCTTCCTGTGTGCTGGCATAGGGAATAGGGAGGGGGCACAAATAAATGTACACCAAAAGAACTGATAAAAACTTTACACTTGAAGTGAATTTCCAGGTTCATCTTGTCTAATTTGCTCATTGTGTAGGTAAAGAAAGACTAGAAGGACTTATGATGTATGCTACGTTGACACAAGTAGAGAATGGGAAAGCTTCTGATTTCCTACTTGTTCTCTTTCCATACTATGGAGAGGGAGTTTAACAGAAAAAAAAGAAGAAAAAAATCCTTAAGTATGTTCCTTATTACTATCCTTTACAAATTTTCTACTGATGTTCGTGGCTGTTGCATACATTGAAAAGCTGTGTTAATAAGGGTCCTCTCTCGTGGCGTAGTAGGTTAAAGCACAGCACTATGAAACTAGCCAGCTGTTTCTGGGCTCGATCCCTGGCTAGGGAGATGAACCACATGACACAGAAGACTTTTGTCTCACCCATTGCTCCCCTTAGCAGGGTACTTCATCAATCTGCCTGTTCTGCTCCCCACTCTGTCTCTGGTGAATCCTCTCACTGCCCTTGCACCTCTGGCCTGTACCCCAGTTCTGTATGCATAAATAAATCTTAAAAAAAAAAAAAGTTTTGTAATATATTTTCTTTTTTACCGTAGGTATTGTCTGGAGGGTGGAGAAACAGACGCGTGGCATCAACATCAATGAACAGGGAATCCTCCAGGTCTCATGCAGTCTTTACAATTACAATAGAGTCAATGGAAAAAAGCAACGAGACTGTCAATATACGGACCTCCCTGCTCAACCTGGTGGATTTAGCAGGATCTGAGAGGCAAAAAGATACCCATGCAGAAGGAATGAGGTTGAAGGTAAGAAATGAATTATGGTCTTCAGTTCAATGTGGGTATGAATTTTTATTAGAAGTCAGTATCAGGCCAAGTGTTGTGACTGCTACAAAGAAATAAATTGCTCACATCTGAAATAGAAATTTTTGTTGTGGGGCAAGAATAGTGAATGCACATGTCATAGGACAAGTGTTTTTTGAGTTCATGCCAGAAGGATGACAGTACAGTGGCAGCGTATGGGTATAACATGGACTGATTGGAGTCGGAAATGGTAGAGTCTAGTCTGCTTTTTGCACGAAAGGTATGGTAAGAATGTGAGCCACCTGAGCTCTGGGGTGTTTCAGGCAACCTTGGGCTCATGTTTCTGTTGAGATAGGAAACATAAGAAAAGTAGTAGCCGTTTATGGTATGGCATATGCTGGGCCTTTCTAAGTGCTGTATGTGAAATCATTAACCTTCCCAGCACATCCAGGAAGTGGATCCTATTCTTTCTCTTTAACAGTAAAACTAAAGTAAGTTGTCCAGGGACTCGCAAGCTAAAGTTGGAGCTGATGTTCAAAACCAGATGGTCCAACTCACAGACAGGGCCCTTCATTGTGACCCCAACCCCCTTTCTGATTTACTGAGTGGTACAGATGGTGGCAACTGAACTCAGAGCCTCTTGCTTTATCATTTCCACTTGTTTTCTCATTTTTCTATATTTCCACCATTGCATACCCACTTAATGAAATATGTTACCTATAATAAAACATTTAACTCAAGCATTTTTCTTTGTCTCCCAAGCTACTGTCTTAAGGATTTGTGTTACATTTTACAGAACTAGACTGAATATTCCCTAGTAATAAGTGCTTCAGTGGCATTGTGGAATGTGGAGGTGGCTTATTAGTTATACCTTTGCCATTTAGCAAAGATTTTAATATAAAGTGAAAAATATGCCTATTCATGTACTACTCCAACTTTTCCCCTTAGTTTGTAATTTTTGCCTATAGCTTGTTTTTGAAGTATTACATATTACAATCATAAGGTGACATTGGTTTTTTCCCTCCTTCATAGGATTTTTGTTTTTGTCTTTGAATATGAAAAGTTTTACACATGTCAAATAGGAAAAGGTAATGGATTAGTTGACATCTTTTTGATGACAAGTTGATTGTCCTTAAAAATTTCTGAGAACAACAAAAAGAAACCAATCTTTTTTCTAAATTTTTCTTATTTAGGAGGCAGGTAACATAAACCGATCACTGAGCTGCCTGGGCCAAGTGATTACTGCACTTGTGGACGTGGGAAACGGGAAACAGAGACATGTTTGCTACAGAGACTCCAAACTTACCTTCTTACTTCGGGTAAAAGAGATGATTGGCTTCCTGGGCTCTTGTTTTGGTATTGTTCACTGTGATTGACCAACAGTCTCTCCATTGTGGAGACCAAAGGATACATTTTCTTTACATAAAAAGATTTTATACCTTCTCATCTGAACCTGTGTTCATATCATTAAACAGGATTCCCTTGGAGGTAATGCCAGAACAGCTATAATTGCAAATGTTCATCCTGGATCCAGATGTTTTGGGGAAACCCTGTCAACACTTAATTTTGCCCAAAGAGCCAAGCTTATTAAAAATAAGGTAAAATGTTGAGTATCTTTCATTAAATATGCTTAAACTTGGAGTAATTCACTTTTGTTACTGATCTAATATTAACATTAACTTATATTATTTGCTGAAAGTTTAACTTTAAACAAGATTTCTAGTTCATCTTTTCTAGCCTTCTGTTAGCACTCATGTAATTTGAGATACATAATAAATCTACGGTCATTTTTGTTTGACTGTTTTTTTCTTAAGGGAGGGCAAAAGTTTTTCCTTTATAATTAACTTAGAGATACTAGGTAGATTTATTTCTCTTAAATCAGGCTAACAGAATTCCTTGTGTGTTTATGTTTATATGGAGGTGGATATTTGTTATGAAACACTTTGACAAACATTGTCTTTCAAGTTGTTTACAACTCTAAAGGATTCCCATCTTTCTTTATATACAGGAAGCTTCCTTAATATTAGTGTACAACAGTGGACAGAAAATCTTTTCCCTTAAAGGGCTAGTTAGTCAATATTTTAGGCTTCTTGTATGATTTCATCTCCATCCCAACTACTCAGCTCTACCTTAGTAGTTAAAAAGCACCACTGGGCCCTCCCTGGTGGTGCAGTGGGTTAAAGCACCACATTTTGAAGCTCTCTGAAGCCACTGCAGCATGAGTTTGATCCCTAGCCATGGAGGTGACCCACGTGGCGTCGCAGACCTCTCCTGACCCGCCGCTGCTCCCCTCAGCAGTGTACTTCAGTAGATCTGCCTGTTCTGCTCCCCACTCTGTCTCTGGTGAATCTTCTCACCCACCACATCTCTGGCCTGTACCTTAGTTCTGTAAGCATAAATAAATAAATCTTTAAAAAGCATCACAGACAGTATGTGAAGAAATAGGCACAACTGTGTTCCAACACAACTTTATTTACAAAAAAGGGCAACAAAATGTATTTGACTTTCAAAGAATACTTTACTAACCTCTGGTGCAGATGTTGAAAAGACCAAGGAATCCCTTTTGTTTTGCAGAGGTTGGAGGCCCTTTTGGCTCCAGACAAAGGAAATGTGGTGTCATTAATTAGCACATTAATTTCCTCTCTCTCAGAAAAGAAAAATTGATCATTTGCACTCTAAGAGTAGACTCCCTTGTGTTAGTATATGGTAAGAATGAAGGCAATAGTCAGAAGTGTATCGGTCCACTCATTCATTCATTTTATTGAAGTATGATTCACAATGGGTTATTTGTAGTATGAGGAGAAAAAAATCTTTAGAACTTCCTTATCCTAACTGTTGGGACCTTTAAAAGTCTTTAGAGAGTGGAAACTGCAGGGGTAACTGAATTATGATGTCACTGCTATGACAATAATGTTAGGATTTATAGGAGCACCTTGAATGAGGTTGGCCAGAAGACTCAGAAGCAATAGGAAATGACTTGTTAACACATACAACAACAAAACCAGGAACCTATTACTATTCACTGTCGATGGTAAGGCCTGATGCAGTCTATAGTGGAAGATGGGTAGGATAGTGAGGGCTTGCATAAGGATCAACTCTCTAGATCTTTCCCAGTAGAAAGATTTGGCGTAAGAGAAGAAAATGAGGCCTTGGGCTGTCAGAGAGCTTTTTTGCTAATGGGGGTATCGGGTATTCATAACTTGACCCATTCAACCTGATTAGTACTCAACTCTTGGTTCTTGTTATCATTTTGTGGGTTTTGTGTTCTGGACCTTTTGAAACCTCTTAGAAGTTATCTCAACTAAGACATTTCTTTAAGATGAAGAGACATTTCTTTACAGTAGCATTTAACATAATCAAAGTAAAGCTATCAAACCATTCCCTCTTTTCAGGGAGACTCTTAGGAAATGCAGGATTGATATTTCTGGAAAAAGTAGTTTCTCCCAAGCTGATGGAACTCAGACCAGCCCTGCAATTCATTACAACCGTCCAGTGAGCCAAGACAGAAGGGAGGTGGCAGTTTGCTCTTCCCCTTGGGGGAGGGAGTGGGACTGTCTCAGAAGGAAGGATTAGATAACATGGCCAACCCACATAGGTTGCATTTGAAGAGAAGAGTAACTAGTGGGGAAGACTGTCTGGCTCTAGTTTGAAGATACAGGGAAAGGAAACTTCCTTACTCAAGTACGCTGTGTGATTCTGGTGGTAGTGACTGAGAGAATAAAGTGTATGGTTTTTTTGGTGTTCATTAGTCAAAATCATATTTAAATATAAACAGAGTACTATATACCTTGAAAAAATGTTCTTTAAATGCTTTTTTTTTTTTAGATTTATTTATTTATACATATAGAACTAGGGTATTAACCAGAGGTGCAGGGGTGGTGAGAGGATTCACTAGAGACAGAGTGGGAAGCAGAACAGGCAAACTGACGATGTACACTGCTGAGGGGAGCAGCGGGTGGGTCAGGAGAGAGGTCTACCATGCCATGTGGGTCACTTTCCTGGCTGGGGATTGAACTCATTCCAAAGCAGCTGTTGTTAGCTTCACAGTGTTGTGCTTTAACCTGTTGCACCACCAGGTAGGACCCTCTTTTAATGCTTTTTAAAAAACTATTGAATAGGCTGTGGTAAATGAAGACACCCAAGGTAATGTGAGCCAGCTGCAAGCTGAAGTGAAGAGACTCAGAGAACAACTGGCCCAGCTTAGTTCAGGACGGATCCTTTCCGAAGGCTTTCTGACCAGAGGTAAGATGGGCACAATGTCTTTTATTCTGAAGAAGACCATGTGTGGATGCTAGTATGGGAATTCTCTGATAAGACTCCAACATCATACAGTGACCTGAAATTCTCCATAGATGTCTCTGTTTCACAGTACAGGGTACTGTAACCAGGAAGATACCATAGATACTGAATTCTGTGAGATATGGAGAGAAGGGGACAAGGAATAGTTTTGAATAAGTCATCCTGTGATGCTAAGAAGAGATACTAATAAATTTTACTGAAATTTTCTTCCAGGATTCTGTCATGTCTTATGTAATCCATACATGTTTACTAACTAGACTCAGCAAGACTTAACTTTTCTTCAAAGAACAGCTGATATCTAGCATGGATTCATTTGAAAACCATGATGTGGTGGTGACCATCTGATTCTTTTAGATTGAGGTCAACGGCTATTTTAACTTACATTGGTTTTAAAATTTGAGAGCTGAACATCTTTTTCCTCTTGCCCTTTCTTTTTTACTGAATCAATTACAGACAAAGATGACACTAATTACGAGAAGTATTTCCAGGAGGCAATGTTATTCTTTAAGAAATCTGAACAGGAAAAGAAGGTAGGAAACTGAATTACTATAAAAGACGTTCAAGACACTACAGTTTTCACTGCCGTATTTTACTGAACAAAATGAACAGCACAAGTAAATAAAAAACACAAAGGAAGGCTGTGAACACTCTACTTTGCCTTTGAAATTAAATATAAAGTTACTATTTGTTTCTTAGTTTATGAAAATTTGGGGAAGCTAAATTATTTTTTATGTTTAACCAAAATATGAATTTCTTAAGTCTCTGGTAGAAAAAGTCACTCAATTAGAAGACCTCACCCTCAAAAAAGAAAAATTTATTCAATCTAATAAAATGATTGTGAAGTTTCGAGAGGATCAAATAATGCGCCTAGAGAAGCTCCACAAGGAATCTCGGGGGAGTTTTCTGCCTGAGGAGCAGGATCGTTTGCTGTCAGAGCTAAGAGATGAGATTCAAACTTTGAGAGAGCAAGTGAGTACATGACATTTGCTGTGTTTCTAAAAATAAATTCAAGACAGATAATCTATCCCTCAATTTTTGTAGTTTAGTACAATGGAGTGTTTTAAAAGATTTCTGCTGACAGTGTGATTGTATAATCATCTTCCCCCGCCCCAAAGGGAGGAAGTTGTAATGTTGCAGTCAAGCTCTCAGCAGCAGAGCTGGGGTCCCAGTGGGCAGTTAGGAGTGTCTGAATCAGTAGTCTCTGCAGTTGAGACCTTTAAAGTTTTTGTTTTTCCTCTTTCCCTGGGGAGGATGGAGAGCTAACATAGACTCATTAAAAAGCAAGGATAATCTGTTACCAGTTTTCATATCTTTCAGGTGTCTATTTGTGTATTCCAATAATGTGGATATCTTTGCTTTTATTCCCTCTGTGCACAAAGGCAGCTTACATACACTTTGTTTGCACCTTTCCTTTTCTCGTAGATCAACTGAGTTCCGTATTCTTTTCTATGTGTTAATTTAGGCAGCATCTTTTTCGTACAGAGTCTGCCACGATATAAACCTTTATTTTTATCTCCATAGGTGCCTTGGGTGAAAGTCTCAAGGGTACAGATCCACCGGTGTGATAAGGGGATTGTAGGATGTGCACTTACTCAGTCTGATCTCAATGTCCAGTTGTTTCTCACAGGGGTTGCCAAAAGCTGCCACCAGACTGTGTGCAAGTGCATGGTATTTTTAATGGCTTCTCAGAAAGCCTCATTCACTAGGGAAATGTATATAGATAAGTCTAATTCTTCTGTGTCCTAGGTAGAACACCACCCCAGAGTTGCAAAATATGCAATGGAAAATCATTCCCTGAGGGAGGAGAATAGAAGGTTGAGATTATTAGAGCACGTAAAAAGAGCCGAAGAAATAGATGCCCAGACCATTGCAATACTAGAAAAAGCTTTCTCCGAAATCTCTGGCAGAGAGAAAAGTGACAAAAGTAAGCAAAGGCTGTGGTATTATATGCCTTGTAGGGTGGGAGCTGTTTGATGGTTATTTCTGTTGCCTTGCAGGTAAACTCTTCATTTTAGCCTCGACCTGATGTGCTAATTGCTTACATGCTTTTCTTGTTATCAGTGGCATTTTCTAAACTTTTTTCTCAAAAACCAGAGTAGTAAATTTACATAGACTGGTAAATATAACAAAGAAATACATTATATTCTATATACATATAGTGTATAATATACGCTGTCAAACACCTCGTTATATTTCTATCTTATTGATAAAGGAGATTGGCTCAAAAAATGGGCATTTCCCTATCTTCATGTTTGAAATAAGAAGCGCAAAACTTGGCCCTCCCTGGTGGCGGGCGCACCAGGTTAAAGCAGAGGACTATAAACCTAGCCTCAGCCGCCTGAGAACAAGTTTGATCCTGGGCCGGAGAGCTGACTCACATGGCACCACAAACCTCTCCTGTCTTGCCTGCTGCTCCCCTCAGCAGTGTCTGCCTGATGCTGCTCCCCACTCTCACCGCCCCCACACCTCTGACCTGTACCCCAGTTCTGTATGCATAAATAAGTAAATCCTTAAAAAAAAAGCATTTAACCAACACCTATGAATGAACGTGGAGTTGAAATGTGCCTCACCTGAGCAGTGAGAGGAGCCCCAAGGCACCTGCAGCAGTGCCCTGGTTCTGGCGTGGGCTTGCAGCATCCTCTGTTCTGCATTATTTCCCGCGTTACTTGTTTCACTCTCTGAAAAGCCTTCAGTCAGTATGCACTCTAATTTACAGGGTTGGCTGCTCTTATTAATGCCCTGGGATTTGGTAACTACTTTCGTCCCATTCTTAAATATATTCTTTTTTTTTTTCATTTAATGCTTTACATTACATTGAGATAATATTGGAGTACCCCCATTCTCCTGATTTGTTTCATTTGACACTATCCCTTCAAGCTCCATTCATGTTGCTGCAAATGGCAGCATTCCCCCCTTCACCCCCCCACCCCCGTTTTCCAATTCTTCTGTTATAATTTAATAAAGAATAAAAATCACAGTACTGGGATTGTGGAGAGACAGATTTTATTGGGGTTATTTTTTCTCTTTGAGACTTAAACTTTTAGACACAAAGTTAAGCTCAGGTTTTTCTGTATTACTTCAGCCCTTCCCCCCTACTTTGGCATCAAAGTGGCATCTCTCTTAGCTCCTGTAATTTCTGAATCCCATCATCCTGTAAATGTGTACATTAGTCTCTTAAACAGCTTTTGCAGTCTATTTGCCCCCCGCTGAAACTCAGTGCAGCTCTCTTCATCAGTCTTCCAAGCAATCCCTGAAAATATGTTCTACCAAGTTCTCTAAACTTGTTGGTTTGAGTTTGTTTCCCTTTTCCAATATTTGGTTGTACTTTTAGTGCCAGTATTAATTCCTGCAAGAAGTAGCTGTGGCTGTGTCTTCGTTTGTATCCTGCTGTGCTTTACTCATTGTTTATGGTTTCTTTAATGGAAACCCTGTGGAGAGAGCTTTGTCTTGACCAGCTTCTCCATCCTGTGACTTCTCAGCTTCTTAAAAACAACTTCTAATTCTGATCCAGCGAGTTGTGTCTTTCCTCTCTTGGGTTTGGGCTTTTGAGTATTTTAGGATCCACCTTCCAGCCTGTTTTTGTTTTTTCTTTTTTTCACTTTTTCGGCTTGTACCTCAAAATAGATACCTGGCAGAGAACTTAGAAAATATATGTTATTTTTCTTTCAAAGATCAAGTTGTTTCCTTGTTACCAGATGAGCCAGTATTCTCTCCTAAAGCTTTAAAGGAATCAAGTTCATTAGCAAACACTGAGAAGCTAAAAGCCCAACTCCTACAAATTCAGAAAGAGCTGAATAATTCAAAACAAGAATATGAAGAATTCAAAGAACTAACTAGGTAAAGTATCTGCACATTTGTGCTTACTTGTTTTAATATCTTAGTATTGATTTGTTTTAGTGTTTAACATTGACAATTTAATTGAGCATTTTACTTTAAATAATAAAATTCTCAAGTAGAATCTAATTTGTTTAGACATGAAAAAGGGCTGGCTTCTAGCTAGATCTTTAATAATAAATTAATGAGGCAGATGATACAAAAGTTTTAAGTACTATATCTATTGAACTTCCATATAAATTCTTTATCTGGCCACCAATTTAAATCTCTGTGCTGAGCTCAATTTTTAGAAACTACTTTAGGCTCTTTTTGTAAAAGGAAGATTAACCACATTCATATTATAACTAAAACCTACCCTAAAATATCAGGAAGTGTTTATTTTATAGAGAACATAACATGTACAACATTAGTCATGGCACTATTTGGGGTTTTGAGTGGGTGCTCTGTCACTTACTAGGTGAATTATCTTCAGTAGTTCTCAACTTTTGAGCTGTATTTTACCCAACTGGAAAATGAGAGTAATTTTTAACTAACTCTGATTTAAAGAGAACTTTAAAGTTAATAAGAGAGTGTAAATGGCGAATTACTTATATGTAACATTACTTAATACCCGAAATACTCAATTTTATTATATCTGTTAGGAAAAGGCAACTGGAATTAGAATCAGAGCTTCAGTCTTTGCATAAAGCCAACCTTAATCTTGAAAATCTTTTGGAAGCAACAAAAGTCTGTAAGCGGCAAGAAGTTTCTCAGCTGAACAAAATCCACGCTGAAACAATTAAGGTAGGTGTCTGAAGCATGTGTGTGCTGTCTCATTTTGTTAGGAATAGAGAGATTGCATGGATCACCCAAATACAACTCGAATCTCCCATCGACAGTTAACCCTGACACCTATCCTAGTATTCTCACGTTCTGTTATTTCTAAGAGACTTTTAAAAGTAATTTTCATTTTTTTGAACAGGTGGTGTCCATGACAGGAAGTTTAAAGGTATAGAGTGGTCACATGAGCCTCTTTCCTCCTGCTGGCCTTCTACTGACCCAACCTCTGTGGAGGCAGGCAGCTTTCTGTTTTCCTTATTTCCTTATTTTACGTAAACATTAGAGGATTATACACCTGGGCTCTTTGTTTTTTGAAACATAATGATGCATTAGATTTTTGTCTTCAATCTGAAAGGGAAAGAAGAACTTTCTCTCCTTTTTTGTTTTTGCTAAGTGGCTTGTTTTGGCAGCTGCATAGTATCCTTTATTTGAGTATGATTATTTCCACCTGGAAAAAGCTATTTTTTTCCCTCATAAAAGTAGACTTGTTTTTTAAAAAATGTACAGGCATTTATTTATTTTTTATTTTTTCTACGCATTTATTTTCAAATACTCGGCAGAATATCACCCAGTGTTTCATAGTCCTGTGTCTGTATCCCGTTGTTATGGTAGAATTACAACTTTCACTTAGGACTGAGTGAATAAGACTAAAGGGATTAATGAGTTTGTCAAGAATTGCATGACAATTCAGATGGTTTGTTACTAATTTTTAATTATGTATTTTATGATTGCATTCTCCTTGTTTAAAAGAAATACACATGCATTTACAAGTTCAGTTTAAAGTTCCATTTGAGCATTTTTGTCAACCTGGGTCTAATCCTTCATCCTCCCTACCCTGAGATAATTTGTTAGCAGTTTGGGAATTCTTTCTCGTGGCTTCTTTGAGCAATAAATATTCATGGACTGTGAGATATATAGTATTGTTTCATAGAATTTGGTTTGCTTTTGAAAAAATAGATGGAGTTGCCCTATTTTATTCAGCAGCATCCTTTTGTTAATTCAGGGGCATACTTCTGCCTTTGTACATTAACCTTGAACTCCACCTCCATTTACATTGAGGCTTCCATATTTGGGTGGACCTGTGGCTTTCTTAGGTGGTTTCCAGTACAGACACTGGGGGGTAGACCCCTGCAGCAGTGTGGCCTCAGGATGTCAGCGTCGTAACTAGGCTGCCCCGTGCCTTTCCGGAGTGCTCAGTACCCAGAACCCACCCGGAACTGGCTCTGTCAGGCGTGTTCTGGATAAAAATTGACAGCTAGTTAAGACTATTCTCATTTTCTCATCTCTAGTGAGGTTGAATACCTTTTCCTATATTTCTTGTCCTTTTTTCTTTGGGGGGGTGATGAGAGGATTTACCAGAGACAACGTGGGGAGCAGAACAGGCAGATTAATGAAGTACACTGCTGAAGGGAGCAGCGGGCGGGTCAGGAGAGGTCTGCTGCGCCATGTGGGTCAGCTCCCTGGCTGGGGATCAACTCATGTTGCAGTGGCTTTGGAGAGCTTCATAGTGCTGTGCTTTAACATGTTGCTCCCTCAGGGAGAGGGATTGATTGATTTTTTAAAAAAATATATTTCTAAAGGTCTCCAAATCTCAAGATCATTAATAAATCATTTCTTTTATAATTTTGTTTTAATTGTGTTTAATGCATCTCTTTTACTTTTTCATGGTATGTCACATGGTTTATCTTTTTAAAAATAAGTCAGTTTTTCCCACCAATTTTCATATTTTGGTATATAAATGTTTTATTTCTGGACTTTGTACTTTCTTTTAGTGTTATGTTTGACTGTTCACAGGTCAGTATGCACTTTCTAATGATAGTACCCTTATAATGTGCTTTTATACTGTTCAGAGGAGTCTTCCCAGTTCTTTTTTTTTTTTAATTGCTCTCTTGCACATTCATTCTTTCTATAAAGTTCGAAGTTAGCTTATCAACTTTAATTTTAAAAAAATCCTATTGGAATTTTGCTTGAGATTGTATTGAATTGAGAAATTTATTTCTACTTTGTCATTTCTGTGTTGCCTTCATAAGAAAAGGACCCTTTTTCCTTTTCTTCTGATGAATAGCATTTTGATTTTATCTCTCTGCTTACACGATTGCTAAGTGCGTTTTTTAAAATGTGTGCTAATGTTGCTTTTTAAAATAATTTTGTATTGCAGATTATAACTACGCCAACCAAAACTTGTCAGCTTTGGTCTCGACCAGTTCCCAAATTAAGTCCTGAAACAGCAAGATTTGACTCTGTACGCATTCCGAATTATAGCACCTTAGATAACGATATCCTAAATGAGCCAGTGCCGCCTGAGATGAGTGAGCAAGCTCTTGAGGCCATTTCTGAGGAACTTAGAATGGTGCAGGTAAGGATGATGGATGGAGAGCCAGAAGGAGACCTGGGAGGAGGCCCATGGAGCAGAGAGACGTGAAGATGTGCTGCTTCTTGGGCCTGGGCTGGTTGAAACAGACGCGTGGAAGTTAACAGTGGCAGCTTTTGTCTTGATCTTGCTCCTTCTGCCACAGACCTGCTGGGCGCCTTCTGTCCCATTCCTATATCCCCACCAAACGGTGCCTTAGACTTGTAGGCCTTTGGGTCTCAGTGGCACTGCTTTGGGCCAACCCTGTTTGGTTGGGCATTTACTCATGAGAGGATGGGGGAGATGGTTAACTTTAGGTGCTTAATTTGGAGACTATATTCTTTCCCTTTTCTTCTTTGTATTGCCTAGTAATTATATTGAGGTTCTTTTCCATTAAACGTTTTACTGGATTATGTTTTGATGCAGCAATGGCAGGAGCTATTTAGAATAGGCAGGTTTCGGGATTTGGGGTGCCTCTCATCCTATCCTGTATTAGCTTCATCCACAATCTGCTCTCAAAAATCACTCTGTGAAGCCCTGAGGAAACGTCTCAGAATCCTTAAGATAGCTCTATGAGTTAAGCCAGGGTTTTAATTTTAGTAATTTCTTTCCTTTGTATTTAAAACTGTCCACTTTGACAGATGACAAGTGTAGTTCTGAAAACTGAGAAATCAGTGGTGCAGTCTTTTTTCTGGCTCCAGTCTATCTTTGATACCTTTGTCCATAAAAGGTTTTTAAAGGCCCTCCCTGGTGGCGCAGCGGGTTGGAGCGCAGCACTGAGAGTCTGAAGCCACTTCCGCATGAGTTCGATTCCCGCCTGCTGCCTGCCCCGGAGGAGACCACATGGCGAGCCAGACCTCTCCTGACCCGCCCGCTGCTCCCCTCAGCAGTGTACTTCGTCGGTCTGCCTGTTCTGCTCCCCACTCTGTCTCTGGTGAAGCCTCTCACCGTCCCTGAGCCTCTGGCCTATACCCCAGTTCTGTATGAATAAATAAATAAATCTTTTAAAAAAAAAAAAAGGTTTTTAAAGCTGCTTTTTTGAGCATAGAGGAAATGCTAATCTGTTCAAGTATTCCTGTTTAGTAGTTTTGACAGCTGTAGGCTTTGTGTTGCAGGAACAAATGAGTGTCCTTCAAGTGAAGCTGGATGAAGAAGAGCATAAAAATCTAAAGCTCCAGCAGCACATTGACAAAGTGGAGCATCATTCTACACAGATGCAGGAGGTGAGTGGAGAGCTTGGCGCCCAAGACGTGTGAGACATCCTCTCAGTGAGTATTACAGAGAGATGTGGCCTCGCAAGGCCTTGGGCAAGGGCTTTCTCAGGTGCAAACTGCTTTGGTAATGAGACAGATATACTTCCCTGACTTTAGTTCTGGCCCACTTAGTCCCTGTTGCCGTCAGACCCCTTCCTATTTATTGGAAAGAAAGGAAAAAGAATGACCCAGGTCCTGTTTTGGTTACTTTTACCATAGTTCTTGGGAGAGACCAGTTTCCTTCTGGCCTGAAACCATAAAAGTAAATTTTTTTTTCCATAAAAGTAAATTTTAAAAACAAAACCAAAACTAGATTTTGGAAACAGAAACAATGATTTGGAGTGTCTAAGCTGCCAGTGTTCTATTTCCAGTAAATGTACTTCTTTTCCAAAGCTTTTTTCATCAGAAAGAACTGACTGGACCAAACAGCAGCAAGAATATCTTTCACAATTGAATAATCTTGACAAACAGCTTCAAGACACTCAAACTAAGAATGACTGTAAGTTTGAATAGTTTGGTGCTTTGTACTCTGGATGAATCTAGGAAGTTTTTGCTCACATTAGGAAATATGATCCTGATGCTTTTGGCTGTTTATTTTCTAAGTTAGATGACGAGTCAGTGGTGATAGTCACAGAGCATGAGGGTAGTTTTCTCTTACAAATAGAGGTTACAGATGTTTGCTTAATGTGTCAATACTGCTTCAGTTGGCAATGAAGTGTCTTGGATTGGTGTGATAAGTAATGTTATAATAGTTACAAAGCTTAGATGTGGGAGTAGCATTTGGGTCCAAGGGTTTTGCTTTTGTTTTCAGTGTATGTCTCCTTTCTTCATGATACTTGTAATAATTTATAATAAAGCTAAAACAAAAGAGACCACTTTTCTTTGATCTAAAAGTTATCTGATTTTACTTCCTGTTTGTTTCTTTAGTAGTCCAGAAATATTTAATCCATATCAGAAATCTCTGGTACATTTCTAAGAGATGTTTCACTAAGTAAGGTCACTTAAAATCTGTTAATGTTTTGATTTTTTTTTCTTTTTTGTAAAGATTTTGATGTACATTCTACAGGAGAAAGAAATGTAAAGTTGAGTGACCTACAAGTCAGGGACAGATGTTTGACACTTTCCTTTTTGGTAGAGATACACCAAAAACCATGAGAAGGGAGAGGACGGAAATAGCAATCTCAGTGCACCTAGGGACCTATCACTTACTTGTTTAACACTATTTCTTCAGATGTGATTTTCAACTTGTTTTTGCTGATTTTTTAAAAAAGATTTATACATACAGAAGTGGGGTACAAGCTAGAGTTGCAGGGGCGGTGAGAAGCTTCCTCAGAGACAGAGTGGGGAGCAGAACAGGCATATCTACTAAGTACACTGCTGAGGGGAGCAGCGGGTGGGTCAGGAGAGGTCTGCCGCGCCTAGGTCTACCACCCCTCTAGGGCGGGCGGGGATGGAATTATTTGACGTGGCCTTAGCTTCTTAGTGCTGTGTTTCAACCTGCTGTGCCACCAGGGAGGACATGTTTTTGCTAATTTTATGAAGAATATCCATTTAATTTGCCTTCTTTGTGAAAAAATATATGTAAAGAAATCAGTGAGGTTTTATTTTTGTTTGTTTTTTAGTTTTGAAAAGTGAGGTGCATGACCTTCGAGTAGTTCTTCATTCTGCAGACAAGGAGCTGTCTTCTGTGAAACTGGAGTATAGTTCGTTCAGAGAGAGTCAAGAGAAAGAACTCAGTGACCTTTCTGAAAGACACGTGCATATACAGCTTCAGCTAGATAATGTCAGGTAGAGTTGCCTGATTGCCTATAACCTGGACTTCTCGAGGTGCAAGTGCTGTAAACCCAACTCAAACTAGTTAAGCACACAAAAAGATAATTTATTGGCCCACAATATTGGGAAGCCCCAGAGGTGATTTTGGTTTGAGGGACAGACCAGGTTGTGCCTCAGACAGTTTTGTCTGCTTATACTTACATTCTCGCTCTCTCCACAGCATCCCTTCTCCGCTCCCCTCTCCCTTTGCCCTTATTCTCTCACTTTTCTGGGCTTCCTCCTCCTGTCAGTTGTCTCTGGCAACTCCATGTAGTGGAGTCTTACTGCCTGCAGTTGCTAGTCAATATAGCATGTCTGGCTGACACTTGGGAGAAGAGTGAGGGAGTAGATGGCTGTAGGTGCCAAGCCCACCCTGTCTGGCCCACTCCTCGCTGGAAAGCGTGACTGCATGTTTATGCACCATGGACATTTCATAAGCTCATGAGGAGCTTTGCTTCAATCAAAGCCTCCGTATATTGGGAATAGTCTGTAGATGGGGTAAATCAAACTGCAGATAATCATACTGGCCTTTAATATTTATATTTACCATTGTAAAAATGTTTTCCTGATAAAGATTTGAAAATGAGAAGCTTCTTGAGAGCAAAGCCTGTCTACAGGATTCCTTGGAGAATTTACAAGAAGTAATGAAGTTTGAAATTGACCAACTTTCAAAAAACCTTCAAAACTGCAAAAATGAAAATGAGACTCTGAAATGTGACCTGAATGTAGGTTTGGATGGGTTGTTGGTGGATTTGGCCTGGCAGTGTGCCCACCGAGGGCTGGGCAAGGGTGTTTGACCTGTCCTAGCTCCTGCACCGACCTACGGCGCCTGCTGCGTCAGAAGCACTGCGTGTATGGGTCAACTACTCTTATCCTAATGACACTTAACACCCCATGTCATGTTGTCTTTTAGAACTTGGTAGAGCTTTTTGAGGCAGAAAAAGAGCGCAATAACAAGTTATTATTACAATTTGAAGAAGATAAAGAAAACAGTTCTAAGTAAGTGCTATTTGTCTTTTCTATCAGTTGATGAGAATATCACTAACTGCTCCCCACCCCTTTCTTATACTAGTTTTTTTTTAATAGAAAGCATTCCAAGGTAAAGATCAGGTTCTTCTGTATAAAGTTAGTTTGTAGAGAACTTAATTTTCAAAACTTTGAGTAGCTAACTATGGTATTTTGAAATGAATAATTACTGCTGGTGATCAGCACTCAGGACTTTCTGTAAGTTACAGAATATATAAAACAGATGACTTCTTACTATTCCTTTTTTATTGAAAAGCGGGGAGTGAATTTTATTTGTCTCTTCCATTTGTTTTCTCGCTGTTCTACCTCCTCTCCCCACGCCCCTTAGTATGAATGCTGTTGTCTTTCTTCCCTTCTTTCCAAGTTCTTTTTATCGGTGGTGATTTAGTCTCTTGTTCTTAGTCAAAAGGATGATTATTACTGTAATGAAAATGATTTTTCTTGTTCATTAAATAAGAGTAATTAGATAATACTGAACAATTTTTTTTTTCAATAGATAAAAACTAAAAGAGTTCTTACTATAAGGCAAATTTTCTTCTAGACTTTGGAATAATGGGAACACATATATAGTGGATACATATATCTAGTTGAGAAACAGGTAATTAACATCTAGTCATTCATGCAAACACTTAGAGACATCCAGCAAACCGGCAGGCTTTTATAGAGCAGAGCATTTGGAGGTGTGACAGTGAACAAAACATCCTCCTTCTCTTTCTAGCACAGAGCAATAGGTAATAAACTCTATCTGTTAGGTGCTCCTAAGTACCCTGAAGAAAAAGAAACTTGTAGCACAGAAGTGAGTTTTCATTCAATAGCTGTGAAGCAACAGTTCCAAGTTAATGCCCCCTACTGAAATAAAATGCCCACCGCCAATATGTGCCTAATAAAGTTCACCTGTGTTGCATTGACTCTCTTCTGTATGAATAGACTCACAGATTCATACTTTTGTGAATGGAATAGAGTAAAAGATAATTCTTTTCCAGAGAAATCTTAGAAGCTCTTGAGGCCGTACGCCAGGAGAAGCAGAAGGAGGTGGCTAAGTGTGAGCAGCAGGTAAGGCTCTGTGCGCCACCTGAGGTGGGGGCTGTGCAGCTGTTATTCCTGATGTCAGAACAGGTTTATTACAAAGACTACTTCAACTTTCAGATGTTGAAAATGGTAATAAAAAGGTGGAACTTGGGGGTGATTGTATCTTTCAGTTCTTGTTCTTATAACTCAAGTGGCTATAATAATCTGTTGGTGCTCTCCTCATAAACATTATTTTTGAATGTTATACCTGGTACACATGGTATATGAAAAGCAGATTTCAGCTTTTTTTGTCATAAATATTGTGTGTGAGATTTTTGATTTAATTTTTTTTCTGTTCTCCAATAGATGGCAAAAGTGCAGAAACTAGAAGAGACTGTGTGTGCTACTGAAAAAATGATCAGTTCTCTGAAGAAGTCTAGAGATACTGATAAGGTAGGGAGAGGCTAAAGTTACATCCCTCTGCATTTTCTTTATAAATGTAGCTTGAACAGTCTCCCAGGTGACAGCCAGCATTTCTCCATGCATTTAAGTCTTGTTCATCTTCCAGGGTAGCTAGAGTGTGTGGTTGTTTACATAATTCCCCATGTAACTTCAAGGCCATACTATTTCCCCACTCTTGACAACATGTCTGAAATACATCCTGCCCCTAACTAGCTAACTGCCGGTGCCACCCTTTTTGTTGACTCTGAGTCCCGTGATACCAATTCTCAAGTCCCTATTGTTTAACTAGAATAATAAAAACAATATGGATGCACAAATAGAAAATTATCTGTAAATTCCTTATTTTTGTAACTTATTCATTAAAACTAAAGCAATTGATTAAAATGGCATAAGGCCATTAAAGTGTAATTTGGTAATAAAGCATTTGACATGATATTTTGCTAAATTAAACTTGACTTCTGCTGTCATTAGGAAAAAAGATACATGATTTCTAATTTGGAAGTGTCCCCTCACTGTCCTTGGATATGAAGATAATGTTTCTGTCCTTGTCAGGAAGTGGTGGCTGAGCTCATGAACCAGATCCAGGACTTAAGACTGTCAGAGAAACAGAAAACAGAAACTGTAGATACGCTGAAACAAGAACTGAAGGACATAAATGTAAGTTCTGTTACCAATAGGATTGTAAGTTTGAGCATGAAGCACACTTCACAGGCTCCACCAGAAAATACGATTGTGTGTCATGTAGGTTTGGAAATACTAAAGTTCAGTAGGGTTCTGTATTTGCAGGACTTGTAGTATCTTTGTGGCAATGTGCAAGTAGCCTGTCGGCTGCTGAATTCTCAGATTTCCCTGACCTGGGAATTGCTGATCCAAACTAAATCACAAACAGATAGTTTTGTTTATGCAGTGTAATTATTTGCTTCAAGGACTGAAGAGTTAAATAGACTTATTAATTATTGTTTAATTAACAATTAATTATTAATTGTTTTCCCATTTTTTGAGTTTATTTTTTCCTAACATCCTTATCACTTTGCTGCTTATTTCTCATGGATATATCTAAGTTTCTATATAGTCTGGATGCTTCCTCCTCCAGGAGGACTGTGGGTCAAGAGGAAGGTTTTTGTCAGTGTTCTTCCCTTTATCAAGTGAGCTTGCTGCACTTCACATTTATTTCTGGGAGCTGTCTCCTGAGAAGGTTGACAGGCCAGGTGTGTTTCACTGATAGCCGCGGCGCTTCTCCTCTCAACAAGGATTTATTGAATTGTGCCAATCTGGTTGTCACTTGGAACTAAGATTCAGTCTTAAGTTATTTTAATCTGAATTTAAACATAATAAAGCAGACAACTCATGTATCATACCTTCTTTTCTGCAGTGCAAATACAACTCTGCTTTGACTGACAAAGAAGAGACCAAAGTGTTGCTTAAGAGGCAGGAAATGGAAATTCTGGATCTAAAAGAAAGCTTGAGGTTGAGAATACTCTCTGAGGACATTGAGGTAGAGGACTCCTTGCTTTATTACTTGTCATTGTGCATGTGGATGTAGAGGTCATTATTAACTAAATTCATGAATTTTTAAGGGAACAATAATCATTTTCCGTAGCTTGTGAGGCAAATAGATTCCACTAAAATGGTCATTTTTTTTGTTTTCGTTCATTTTTGTTGACACCATGCTAAGTCCCTATACCAAATCCTCTTCAGAAAGGGGAACAGGGTGGAAACTTCATCCCCTTGGGAGCAGTGGTGGCATAGGGAGCGAAGGGAAGACTGGTTACCAGGTGAATTTTAGGATGAACTTTAGCTAAAGTGCTTTTAAAAATTTTTTTTAAAGATTTATTTATGCATCCATAACTGGTACAGGCCAGAGGTACAGGGGTGTTGAGAGGATTCACCAGAGACAGAGTGGGGAGCAGAACAGGCGACTGACGACCACTGCTGAGGGGAGTATTGGGTGAAACAGGAGAGCTCTGCCGCACCATGTGGGTCGCCTCTGGAGCCTGGTTTTGAACTGAATTGGATGTGGCCAGCTTGCAGTGCTGTGTCCTAACCTGTTGCACCACCAAAGAGGGTCTTATTTTTATTGCTGTTGTTGATGTACATGTATCTTTTTAAAAAATTAAGAAGTACTATCAAAATTTAGAATTTAGGGCCCTCCCTGGTGGCGCAGCTGGTTAAAGCCCAGCACAAAGAAGCTTAAGCCACTTCCGCAGGAGTTCTATTTCCGTCTGCCCCGGAGGACCCGCCGCTGCTCCCCTCAGCAGTGTACTTCGTGGATCTGCCTGTTCTGCTCCCCACTCTGTCTCTGGTGAATCCTCTCACACTCTCCGCAACTCTGGCCTGTACCCCAGTTCTGTACGAATAAATAAATAAATCTTAAAAAAAAAATTTAGAATTTAGAGCATCACACATTCAATCCAGAGGTATTTTAGGTTAATTCTACACGTCTTTAGTTTTCCTTTTTTCAGATTGCATCCTGCTGTGTATACTGCTCTGTGTTGCTGTAGAAATAAGGTTTTCTTGCTAAATTATTCTACCCGTGAAACAGATTCAAGAAATATTTAATTATTCATTCATTAGTTCACTCATTCTTCAATTTCAATTAATATTTATTGAGTGCAAATATCATATAGTCTGAGACTAGCTTGACATTTGGGAATGGAAGGATGATAGAGACACTGTTATTTTAACAGCAAAGTATGCAATGTAATTTGAGATGTAGCTGTATTAAGGAAGTGCAAAAGAGGAAGGGAGGGAAGCAGTTATGCTTAGAGAATTTCATAGAGCTTCCCAGAGGTGATAGTATTTGTACAAGACTTTGCTTCGGAGGGAAGTTTGGAGTGGTGAATGTTTCTGGAGTGTCCCCAGCAAGAGCAACAGTGGGTGTAATGGGCTGGGAGTGCAAGAGCTCAGGTATGTCTAAAGGCTCTTCAGGGGGATCAGCTGTACCTTACAGAATTAAGCTGCATAGATTTTAAGTCCAAGCAGAAGGCCTAGGACTTGATCCAAACCAAGGATTTCTAGTGGATGTTAGTGGGTGAGATAGAGTTGAGAAGTGTTTCAGAACTAACAGTTGACAGCTGTTGGTATCCAAAAGTGGCTGGTGCAGAGCAGGAGGAAACAGCGGGCACCAGTTTTCTCCTGGGCAACTACATGGTTCTGTGTATATCTAATAAGAGATGGAGAAAACAGAGGCCCAGGGAATGGACCTGAGATCATTTTATGCATGCTGCTGGATTTGTGTTTATATCCACTGACTAGTATTTATAACTTCCTGTGTCCCAGAAAGGATTTGAAGTCACACATAATACAAGAAGGTAAAAGGCAAAGTAAATGAGTCAAACGATAATAAAGGTAGGGAAACAACATGCTATTCAGTGCATAGGCCTTGGTTTTAGATGACTAGGATTTGAATTCTAGCTGTATGACTTGTGAAAGTTGTATTTCTCTGTTGTGCATCATTTGTCACAGCTTTAAAGTAGAGCTAACGTACTGTCATGTAAAGTCATAAAGAAGAACAAGGCAACAGATACTTTGTAAGTGTTCAGAACACTGCTTGGCACTTTGTAAGTGCTCAGTATGTGTCTTTAATGTTAGCCAAAAATGTTCTTACTTTAAAACTTTCTTAACATTTAAAAAACCATACGTAGTGATGTTTGCAGGTCCTTATTGAAGACCCACAGTTAAGAAAATAAATTCTCCTTTGTCTCCTGACAGAGAGACATGCTCTGTGAGGACTTGGCTCATGCCACTGAGCAGCTTAACATGCTCACAGAGGCCTCAAAAAAGCACTCAGGGCTGCTGCATTCTGCTGAGGAGGAGCTTTCCAGAAAGAATGCTCTGATCCAGGAACTCCAGCAAGAGGTGAGATGTAGGAAAGTGGATGGAGGGGGCAGGGCAGAAGCAATGATGCGTGACTGAGGCCATCACTGTGGTGGCCTTGTCCCTGTGTCCGGAGGGGCAGGTTAACCAGGTTAGTACACTGTGGGTCTTAATGACTTGGTTGTTCACATGAGTTCATACTTGCTTCGCTGCCCCCCGCCTACCCACAACACACAAGGTCTAACCACTGTGGTAAGGTTGTGGCTGATTTTTATTGTTCTTTGCCTATTTTATATTTTTCTTAAAACAAACCTTTTGTTACCTATGGAGCTTAAAAAGAACAGTTTGTTTTTAGAGCAATGTAAATGAATGGTCATAAGTGAGATATGTTTACTGAACTATACAGCTACAAAAGGCAACCCCAGATTTTCCATTTTATTACTTTAAAATAATAGTTTTACAAAAAGGAAATGAAAGCATGATGTTACCCGACTTTATGCATAAAGCAACAGTAATTAAAACAATAGGTTTGACACAAAAATACACATGTAGTCATTTGTGAAAATTGATGAGTTTTTTTTTTTTTTTTTTTTATGAATTAACTGCTTTTCAAATTAATCTGTTCCTGGAAAAATAATGTAAAGACCCTGCCTCATGCAGCCTAGAAAGCTCGCCTATTTTAACTGAACCTCATGTTTTTTTTTTAACTGGTAACTTTACGTGTTTTCCATTTCTCCAGCTTAACCAAAAGAAAGAAGAAGTAGAACAGAAAAAGAATGAATATAATCTCAAAATGAGGCAGCTAGAACACGTGATGGATTCTGCTGCCAAGTATCCCCAGGTATGTTTCTGAAAAAGTACATTTCACAAGGTATTCAGTTTTGTGAGTGATAAAAGCTTAGAAATTACTATACTGTAGCTTATGGGGAAAATAATTTCACAAACATGTTTTCTGCTTTTACTTGATAAGAAGATACTAGCCTTTTATTTTTTTGCTTGAAAAAAGTTTTCAAACAAACTATCCTGAGTATTTTTTGTCTATGTGGTTGGCCATTTACATTTAAATGAAACCTTAGTATATATATAAAACGTGACTTAATTGGGCACTTGGATAAGATTTTATTTTATTTTGCTTCAGAGTCCTAAAACACCACCGCATTTTCAAACACATTTGGCAAAGTTCTTGGAAACACAAGAACAGGAAATAGAAGATGGAAGAGCCACTAAGATTTCTTTACAACACCTTATAACAAAGCTAAATGAAGAGAGAGAAGTCAAAAATGCCGAAATCCTCAGAATCAAGGTAATTGGGTAATTTCTGTCAAGAAATTATATAAGCAATATCTTTCAGATAACTGAAGAAGACAATTCAAACAAACGGCACAGAACTCACAAATGGGCAGAGGAAAGTGTTCTCTGACTGACCTTTTAAAACAGTGTGCTGCTATCAGAATGAACCTGTTCCCACAGGCACATGGCTGGTGTGATCTCAGTACTTAGGAGAATTTGGGTCAGGTTGAAGTAAATTAAGCAATAGATAAGCTTAATAAGTAAGCTTACAAGTAAGTGTAAAAAAGACTCCTAACAAACTAGTATTTCTTCTGGATAGTTATATTATGATCTTCAAGTTGGGTCCAAGTAAAAATTTATTTTCTGAGGTGGGCTGTATTTTATTTATTTTTAAAATATTAGTTTATTTTTACATCATTTTGTGCATTTTTCCATGTATTTTACTTATTTTTAATTTTTTTGACTAGAATTTTTTTTTTAATATTTATGCATGCAGAAATGGGGTACAGGCCAGAGGTTCAGGGGTGGTGTGAGGATTCACCAGAGACAGAGTGGGGAGCAGGACAGGCAGATCAACAAAGTACTCTGCTGAGGGGAGCAGCAGGCAAGACAGGAGAGGTCTGCTGTGCCATGTGGATCACCTCCTGGGCAGGGATCAAACTTGCAGTAAAGCAGCCATGGCTTGGCTTAGCTTCACAGTGCAGCGCTCCAACCCGCTGCGCCACCAGGGAGGGCCCTAGAATATTTTAAGTAGATTCTCAAATAGAACATTTACCAAATAGACACATTTTTGTCATCTTTTCTTATAAAGATTTTAAGGAATTATTTTGTGTTAAAGGGTGGTGTAAGACATTGAGGGTACGAAAATGAATCACAGTTCCAGGCCCCTAGGACTTGTCATTGTTGATTGTTTTTCTAATGAGTCTCAGTGTAGTCTCCTGAGCACAAGAAAATCTGTCTTAGTTATGACCTGGAGGAGCAGAACCACCTCTGCTGTTCTGTTTTCTGAGAAGACATGACTTGATGTGTTATTAGGAGCAGTTGTGTGAAATGGAAAACCTACGCCTGGAAGCTGAGCAGTTAAGAGAGAAAAACTGGCTCCTGCAGGGTCGGCTGGATGATATTAAAAGACAAAAGGACAACAGGTTAGAAAAAGCTATCCGAACTCTGTAGGTAAATCTTGGCTGCCTGGGTAGCGTTAACAGCAGAGATGGAATTGGAGTCGCAGCGTGCCCCTTGCTCCCCCAGTCCAGGAGATAATCCGCTGTGGCTTTTGCAGCCCATCTGATGATGCTTTTCCAAAGTGGGAGAAGGCGTTTAGGCCTGCCTGCTATGTTAACCTTTGCATTGTTGTAGCACTCTGGAAATGAATCCAACCCAATCACTTCCTGCTCATAAAAAGGGAGCAAACATGGCAACAACACATGGTCAAGGGTCCCACAGGCAAAGGGTTTTGCAGAAAAGGGGAGAATTTCCTGCCAGCTGATTCTGCCTTATGATTCATGGTCCAGGGAAAGCTGAGCAGCAGCTCTGGGTTTAGGCTTTGCCCTGTGTGTTCTGGCCACGCTCAGGCAGTTTCCTTGAATAGCTGCAATTGCTATGGCACAGTGTGTTTCGGGCACCCCTCTCAGGCTGGGTGCTGTGCTGACACTTAAGTGTTGTGACTTTGGGTTCATTTGTGAAACCACTAGTGCTTCAGTTTGCTTGGCAGTTAAATTCGGAAAATGACAACTCTCACAAGGGACTTAAAAGACTAAAAATAACGTTATTAGATGCTGGTTAAAGTGCTTGGCAGGGGGAGTCCCTCAGAGGGTGCTTTTTCAGTATATGAGGTAGAGTTCCAGTCCAGCCTTTCGTTGCCTTTCTGTGTGAACGTTGGAGTTGAGTGTGGCCTGTCATGTCATGCAGTGAGTTGAGTGACTCAAAAGGGGTTGTATATGTGGGGGAGGCCCTGGCTTAGTCTGGCGTCCCAGACTAGGGGTGTCTGCTGTCCTTACTGCTGCCAGAAGGTCTTTTAACAACAACCTTTCCATTCCTGCCCCTCCCTGTCCGGAATCAGCCCTGAGATTAGGGTTTAGGCCAAACCCTAAACGTGGCAACAGATATTTGAGGGTAGCCATGGTGGTGATGCCAACAATCTATTTTTAAATGATTTTTTCCAAATTCTAGTGTATATCAGGGATGTTGATTAGCTTCTCTTACCCTTCTAGGTGATTCTGATACAGGAAATCAGCCCTGTTAAAGCATTTTACTTAGTGTTCTTTTTTACTAAGTTAGAGCATGGAACATTGAATGTTTCCAGATCATTTATAAACCTACAATTTAAAATACTTTATCTCATAGCCTCATGTCCCTTATGTGAGGACCCATATAGAACGCTGGGGAGGCGCCTTATTCCTCCATGCGTCCATCATGTTTGTTGCCTGTGCTGACCTGACCTAGTTACTGCTGGTTAGTGTCCTTTATGCAACCTGAGATTGCTTCATGGGATTGATGGAAAATTGATACTTGGATATACTTGACAGCACTTCCCCATCTTCCCTTCTTCATCTGTACAGTGAGCAGAATCATCCAGACAGCCAGCAGCTAAAGAGTGAACAAGAAGAAGTGATCAAAGAGAGACTTGCTAAGGTTTGTTTTTAACATAATTGTCTCTTGTTTGAAAAATACTTACCTATTTTAGAAGTCATTTTACTATTAGAAATTCTCCTTTCTGCATCCCTACTGTTCAATATTTTCCACCAGTATGTAGACATAGTTGAAACTTAAGAGTGCATGTGTCATTGTGCTTAGACGGTGAGCCTACTGCTCAGACCCACACGGCGTGCCCACGCAGCAGCCAGGAGCAGTGCCTGTCAGGGCTTTGGGGGCGCAATGCTGCAAGGCACCCCTGTGTGTTGCTGGGGTTGTAGAAAAGGGTGATGGCTTAGTTGATTTTATTACCATGAGGGAGTGTAGACTATTTTCTATCTTTTTTTAAAGCAACATTATTTAAAAATTTAAGCCACTTTTTCTTTTTGCTTTTGTCTTTCTCTAGAATAAATTAGTTGAAGAAATGCTGAAAATGAAGGCAGAGTAAGTATATACTATTTTGCAATTCGAGTTGTTGATCTTTTCTTTATTCTCTTTCAGTAACATGTGAACATACTGTTATAAACAAATGTTTACAAAATTCTTTTTCTAAATACCACGTGCTAAAGGGGGTTCCTCAAACAAGCAAGAAAATTTGGCTTCCCCTGAAGGAAATGATGGTTTTCTCCTCCTGAACAAAAACAGTGTAACTGCCCAGGTCTCCCTTTTCACTTCTGGTTTCCTATAATTTAAAACCTTGAGACCCATAGATCAGTATTCTGATTTCTTTCTTTCTTTTTTTTTTTTTTTTTAAGATTTAATGCTCTATTTTCTTAGGGTATTGTTCTGGGTCTCTCTAAGTTGTCTATAGACATGAATTTATTCATACAGTTTTCATATTTATGTACTCTTATAAATAGGCTATTTCTTTTGACAAGTTAAATTATCATTTCTTTTCAAAGTAAGTAACCTGGGTTGTATTACCAACTAAAGTGATAAAACACTACCAAGATAATGGATTCTCTGGCTAGATACCCCTCATCAGGAACAGAGGTCCTCAAACACTTTTATTTTTTATACCTCCTAAAAGAATCTTGAAACACTATGTATCCTCAAACACATTTTTTTTTTAAAGATTTATTTATTTATGCATACAGAACTGGCATGCAGGCCAGAGGTTCAGGGGTGGCAAGAACATTCACCAGAAACAGAATGGGGAGCAGAACAGGCAGGTTGACGAAGTACAATGCTGAGGGGTGCAGTGGGCGAGTCAGGAGAGGTCTGCCACGCTGTGTGGATCACTGTGAGGTGGGGATCAAGCTCACAGTGAAGCAGCTAGGCTGGCTTGCAGTGCTGCATCAAGCACATTTTTTGAAGTAGACTTTATGTATAAAGTATTTCATTTTAAGTATAAAATACTGTTGCAAATGATAGAAATTCTGACATACTGTAAATAGTGACATCTAAAAATAAAATTGTGTTCTTTTCAAAGTATCAAACAGATTTGCTACTTTCTACATAAAATAAAATATAGTCTCTGCTGCTCAAAATTATGTCCTAATATATTGCTTGAAAGTTTTGATTACCCTGTGGTACAGTTTAGCACTGGAAACATGTATATAAAGGGAAGTAATTATAGAGGTTTATTGTATTGATGACTTAAAGCATTACATTTCTTTTGGTTTGAGTTCTCATTACAATTACTGTTAACCATACTATCCTAAATTTTGTATTGTAAATTTTTTATAAGCATTATACCAAGTAACATTTTAATATAAATACACCTCAATGCATTTTTATCTTAATACTTGTTTTTCAGTTTGGTTCATTATTTTTCTGTAACTAATTATGGGATGACATTGTATCCAGCATCAATTTTTTTTTTTAAGATTTATTTATTTATGCATATAAGAGCTAAGAGGTAGATGTGCAGGGCTATGAGAGGATTCACCAGAGACAGTATAGGCAACTTACGAAATACACTGCTGAGAGGAGCAGCAGACCAAACAGGAGCATTCTTCTGAGCCGGTGGGTTAGCTCCCTGGCCGGGGATTGAACTCGTGTTACAGTGGCTGAAAATTGCTTCACACTGCTGTAACTTAACTCCTTGTCCCACCAGGGAGGCTTAGTATCCAGCATCAGTTCTTTTTCTGTAGCTAAAAATGCTGAGAAATATTACTTACCTAGTAAGTAATATTATTTACCTAGGACTTTTGTTAGAATATTTTCATTCAATTATTTGAACTCCAAGTTAATGTGCCAAAAATTACATAGTGATCTATCAACAAAAATTCTTTTTGATGGAGGTCTCCTGGTAGCACAAGGGCTGAGTATTAATGATACTTTCAAATGAAGATTCTGGGCTTGGGTGAAACTGAGTATTGTTTTATAATTATGTTCCTTTGGAATAAAGTGATATTTATTCTTACAGCCTTGAAGAAGTCCAGAGTGCCCTTCAGAACAAAGAGATTGACTGCCTTAGAATGACTGAAGAAGTTGAAAGGACCAGAACTTTGGAATCTAAGGCATTCCAGGAAAAGGAACAACTGAGATCAAAGCTGGAAGAGCTGTATGAAGAAAAGGAAAGAACATCCCAGGTATGTTTGTGGGTTGGCTGCTGTGTGTACTGAGGACACAGTCGGCACCCAACTCTACCTGCGCTGGGATAACCTGGGCTCAGTTGCCATAGCACCTGCAGACGTGTGTGGTCAGGAAAACTGGGAACGGGGGCTCTGTCTCACTGCTTATGCTCTTGAAGTATGAAATACTTTTAAACAAAAAAAAAAGAGCAGCTCAATTTTCCTTTCCTGGACTGATTTATCTACAGGAATTGGAAACGTTAAGGAAGCAAGTAGAATGTCTTGCTGAGGAAAATGGAAAGTTGGTAGGTCACCAAAACTTACATCAGAAGATTCATTATGTAGTGCGACTGAAGAAAGAGAATGTCAGACTTACTGAGGTAAACTTTGAAAATTTTTCTAAATAAGTTTATTCTGGCTTCAAAATAATCATTTAATTGAAATATAATGTAATTACTTTTTTTTTTTTTAAAGATTTATTTTTTTATTCATACAGAACTGGGGTACAGGCCAGAGGCTTAGGGGCGGTGAGAGGCTTTCACCAGAGACAGAGTGGGGAACAGAGCAGGCAGATCGACAAAGTACACTGCTGAGGGGAGCAGTGGGCGGGTCAGGAGAGGTCTGCCGCGCCATGTGGTCTCCTCTGGGGCAGGCGGGGATCGAACTCATGTGGAAGTGGTTTCAGCTTCTTAATACAGTGCTTTAACCCACTGCGCCACCAGGGAGAGCCTATTGAATCATTTTAATTTTTCTGGGAACTTACTTCATTTAACAAAAGTTCTGTTGCTGCTATTCCAAACGTGTCACCAAGCACGCCAAATTCTTGTTTTATGTTAATTAGTTTAGAAATTGAAATTAAATTTGAAATATAAAGTAAATGTATGCCAGTTACATGCTCTCATTCTAAAATTAAAGCCTTGTTTTTTTTTTTTTTTTGAATTACCAGGAGACAGAAAAGTTGCGTGCTGAAAATGTATTTTTAAAAGAAAAGAAAAAGTGAATCATAAGAATGCCAGTTAACTGCCTAGAATCAGCTTGTCTGGAAAGGTTCTCTCTTGTAAAAGTAAGATGCCACCCCTGCACACTTACTGGAGCTGAATTCAACTGTGATTATTAACTAAGGTGTTTGTGGGGGTGGAGGGTGATGGCAGACCCTTAGGTTTCTGATAAATGTTCTGCATACTCCTTGTGGTGGTCAGCAGACTGCCCGTAAGAGGCTGCTACTCTATTTCAAGACTTCTAACCAACTGTAAATACTCGGAAACCTTTGCTTTTTTAAAATAAAATCCTGTAGCCGAGGTTTTATAATGGATGGTGGCTTGGTCATTTTCTCTCTAGATACTGCCTGACACTGGAAGTTCTAACAGTATGTAATGGTTCCAAAATTTGCAGTAAGGGTAATGCCTGATTGTGCAGCATGTATGAAAAGCAAACTTGTCAACATATTTTCGTATTCTTACTTTATTCTCATGAGCATTTTTTAAAATGTAATTTTTTAAAAAAATAATAAAGTGTTTGACATAGTTGATCATTAGTTCATTTAATGAACACCTACCATATGCTAGGGCACTGACCACCCAAGAACAAAGTGTGCAGAACCCCTGCACTCAAGAACTAGTGTGTGTCGGCACTGTCACTTTTTATTGTATTCCATTGGGTGAATATCCGACATGTAAGTTATTCACCATTTGGTGGACATTTAAACAGTCTGCAGTTTGGGGCTATTATGAATAATGCTGCCATAAGTTTCTGTGTAGATCTGGGTGTGGACATAGATTTCCTGTCTCTTGAGTAATCGTGGAGTTGCTGGGTCACTTAGGAAGCACGTGTCTAATGTTTTAAGAAACTGCCAAAGTGTTTACATCTGACTTTCCCAGCAGCAGGGTGTTCCAGTTTCTCCACGTCCTCACCAGCACCTGTTGCTGTAGGCATCTCAGGTGTGTATTGGTATATCCCATTTTCCTAATGACTAATGATACTGAACACTTGCAGATTACGGACAACTCAGCAATAGAGACAAGCTGATACATGCTGCAACGTAGGTGAGTCTCACACATGCTAAGTGAAAAAAGCCAGACAGAAGACCACCACATTCCACATACTTGAAATGTTCATCCAGAAAAGACGAAAGTATAAAGGTGGCATCTGTCTGGGCCCTTTGATTTGTCAGAAGCCCTAACACCAGCCCCCTCCCTGATGAACCGAAGTTTCTGGCTCCACCCCCCACCCCCCAGCATTTCTCCTATTGATAGCATCTCCATTCTGTGCTTCTCCAGCTGAAAGGTGCAGGTGATCTCCTGCGGTCTTGTTACAAAGCAGATTCCAATTTAGTGACCTAGATTGTGCCCTGGGACTTGACTTTTTTTATATACTTTTTTTTTTTTTTACATCATTTTGTACTTTTTTTCCCCTTCCCATCTCAATTGTAATCCCCGCGGGTTTGGGACTTGGTATTTTTAACAAGTTCTAACGGGAAGCCAGTGCCGGACCACCTTGGGGTTCAAGAGCTGAACCCCCTGGCTGGCTCAGTTAACGTTCCGCGGCGGCGGCCAGCGTACCACAGGCGATCTCAGTCGGGTCCCAGCGTGTTCCCCGGCAAATCTGAACCTGACGCCGGAAGCATCCCGCCGTCCCAGTTGCCCACGCCCCCCAGGCCGCCGTGGAGACCGAATTGGCGCCTCTGCTCACGTGAGCGTCGCGTCACGTGAGGCCGCTGTCCAATCGCGGAGCGCGTTCAGCCCGTCGGCGGGCGCCCAGAGGCGGCGGCGGGTGCCATGGCCGCGAGGCCGCTACCCTCGGGCGGC